ATCAGTCGACTGCTATGACATGCTTGCTGGGGAAAACAGTGGGTCTTTTCTTGTTTCCCCCCCCCCCCCCCCCCCCCCAGAATGGGGCCCTGGAACAAACATGGGGGGGATGTAATTCAAGCATTACATTGTTCCAACCTTCTCTTTAATGCTAGCACTTGTGACACTGTTGCTTCTTCTGTTGTCCAACCTTCTCTTTAATGCTAGCACTTATGACACTGTCGCTTCTTCTGTTGTCCAACCTTCTCTTTAATGCTAGCACTTGTGACACTGTCGCTTCTTCTGTTGTCCAACCTTCTCTTTAATGCTAGCAATTATGACACTGTCGCTTCTTCTGTTGTCCAACCTTCTCTTTAATGCTAGCACTTATAACACTGTCGCTTCTTCTGTTGTCCAACCTTCTCTTTAATGCTAGCACTTATGACACTGTCACTTCTTCTGTTGTTGGTGACCTTTCAGAAATACATTTTGCAGGGTTTTTTTTTTTTGGAATTATCTTCCCATTGTCCATACTAGCTATAAACCCAGTTGAATAAATGCAACATATAATTCACACACAAATTATGGCGTCAAAAGAATTCATAATCAGATAATCATCAAGTTATTTAAGATGTATTAACATATCAGTATTAATCTTGTTCAATCACTTCTTCACAAGCTGACTACACCTGTAATCATTTCTTCACTATCATTTAACCACGGCAGCAATCATTTCTTCACAATCAATCAATCATTTAACCAAACCTGCAATCACTTCTTTACAATCATTTAACCACGCCTGCAATCATTTCTTTACAATCATTTAGCCATGCCGGCAATAATTTAATAAAACAACCAAAACTCGCAGTGCTGCACTGGTTTTAAACAAGATGAAAATAATTTACAAATGCTAATGTACAAGGTCTGTTCAAAAAGAATCCAATCTGTAGTAGTACAAAATGACTCACATAATCCCCCACTAATAGTCTCCTTGCTCCTGCAGACACTTCCCCCGCTAGCCAAGCCAATGATGGAAACATTTCAGGAAGATCTATTTGGGAATGGACTATCTAATTCAGTCACCATACTCTGCAAAATCTGTCCACCTTCCACCACACATGTCTACGTAGAATTATCACAATTTTCTGGCCAGATACAATCTCAAACACTAAACTACTTCAAGACACAAACCAAGAAACTTTAGACAGTATGATTACCAAGAGAAGATGGAAATGGCTTGGCCACGTTATGAGAATGACATGTGAATGACCCGCCAAAACAGCTCTCACATGGACACCAGAAGGAAAGAGAAAACAGGGGCGCCCAAAAACAACATGGAGACGAATGATGGAAAGTGACCTGAGTGTGGCATCTTTGACATGGAAAACTGCACTGAAGATTGCACAGGACAGGAAAGCGTGGAAAGTCCTTTCTGAAGTCTCATGTGCCGCCAGGCATAACGAGAACTGATGATGATGGTACTCTGCAAAATGCCTCAACCCTTTCAATAATGAGAAGAAACAAAACAAAAAACTACACCTTCAGGTAGGGTCCAGTTCCCGTAAATGTCACTTTGCCTACAGTGACCTGTTTACGAGATGCATAGTTAATGCTGTTGGCCGAATTTACGCCTGTGCAAATGTTTAAGAGGTGAGTTTATGAATAAATTAACTAATAATAGCATTTAGGTGATTTTATTTTGGGTTAAGTGGCTTTTTAAAAGCGAAGTTGATATAAGATTTTTTCATAAGCCTCAGTAATAGAGGTCAGGAGGTCATGGCATGAGGCGGCAGATACATGTGTTTGTTTTCTAAGGCCCCAGATATGTAAAGGAGATTAAAAGAGTGGAATTCTAGAAGCAGCGAAAAGAAAGCCTCAATGATAGAGGTCAGCAGGTCATGGCATGAGGTGCCAGATACATGTGTTTGTTTTATAAGGCCCCAGGTATGTAAAGGAGATTAAAAGAGTGGAATTCTAGAAGCAGCGAAAAGAAAGCCTCAGTGATAGAGGTCAGCAGGTCATGGCATGAGGCGCCAGATACATGTGTTTGTTTTCTAAGGCCCCAGGGATGTAAAGGAGATTAAAAGAGTGGAATTCTAGAGGCAGCGAAAAAAAAGCCTCAGTGATAGAGGTCAGCAGGTCATGGCATGAGGCGCCAGATACATGTGTTGGTTTTCTAAGGCCCCAGGGATGTAAAGGAGATTAAAAGAGTGGAATTCCAGAAGCAGCGAAAAGAAAAAGAAGACCCATGTTAGGCTGAGTCCATCTAGGAGTCCTGATTATTTCTGAAAAATTCTGACTTGAAGCCAATTTAAACAAAATATCTTCGGGTCTACTTCTAGCCACCATGATCCTCTCTTTCTGTGAAGCGCACGCGTTTGTGCATACACAAACACGCACACAGGCTGACACTGCCATCTTTATTCTATAATGTTAATTTATTTACAGATTTTTTACTCACTGGTGGAATTAGGGATTCTCAGGATAGGTGTATCAGCCATGTGTACCTGTGGAAAGGTGCCCCAGACAGCAGAGCATGTTCTCCAGGACTGCACCGAATTTGACACATTAAGGCAAACCTTTTGGCCAGAAAGAACAACAGTGGAACGTAAACTCTATGGACCACTGAATGAACTAACAACGACAGTGAAATTTATACAAGAGACAAAACTGCTGATATAGACAACTTATTTCAGGCAAACGAAAGAAGAAGAAGAAGGGATTCTCATAATTTTTTAAGGCAATTAATTATAATTTTCCCAGGATTCCAGGGTCCCATTGTGGGGGAAAGAAAGAATAGACCCACTGCCTGCCCAACAAGCATGTTGTAGAAGTCGACTAACCGGGGAGGGGGTAACCTTCTTTGAAGTTGGAGTGCATCTGCCTGAGAGGCATGCAACCAATAGTCTGCACACAAATAAGTTAGATCTGTCAAACAGATTTGCACACAACACTCAGATTCTAGAACAAGACTAAAGTCCAGAGATGGACGAACAACCAGAACTTTCCATCAGAGTTTACAGCCAGTGCACGCGAAAAGAAGACGAATTAGAATTTCTTCAAACTGACACCAAACACACAATTTCTGTAAAGTTATTGGTTGTAGGGTTTTTGTTTTTTTTTAGCGATTTTTTTTAGGGAGAAAGGGTTAAGACGTTGAGTCAGTTACTATCTTTCATGGCCACTTTTTGAACAGACTTTGTATAATATAAAGTATGATTAAAACTGCACCACATATATATGTGTGTGTGTGTGTGTGTATATATATATATATATATATATATATATATATATATATATATATATATATATATATATATATATATATATATATATATATATATATATATATATATATATATATATATATATATATATATATATATATATATATATATATATATATATATATATATATATATATATATATATATATAAAGCATACACTCATGCAATAAAAGAAATGTAAAAGATAACACTTGGTTGTTCATCCACTTCTGGACTTTGGTCTTGTTGTAGAACCTGAGTTTGGCGTGCACATCTGTTTTACAGGGCTGGCTTATTTGTAAGCTCACTGCTGGTTCCTCACCTCTCAGGCAGATGCACTCCGACTTTGAACGAAACGCCCTTAATTAGTCGACTTTTACAACCAGCTTGTTAGTAGTGCGGAGGGTCTATTGTCTCTCCCCCCCCCCCCACCCCCAATGGGGTACCAAGAATACACATGAGGAGCTTCAGTGTTTTTTTTTCATGGGTTCAGGTTTTATGTCTGATGCACTAGCGTTTATCGGGGTAGGATTAACATGGCTTGAATCATTACAGAAGTCCACTGTGTGTGAAGTCACCTTCATTTTTGTTCCGGGACATGCAGGCATCGATGGAAATGAAAGAGCTGATAGGTTGGCTGGATCCGCTATCACTACCGACGGTCAGCCTATTGATCATGCTAATATTATTAATGCCCTCAGAAATGGGAATGATGATAACCCAACTAACTAAGGATTCACGGTGATTAACACTGCTATCAACTCTCATTACTGGATAGCAAGGTCGAATCCATCACACATTACAATAGGATCTCTAAAATTATTAAAAATTCTTAATGCAAATCACCTAGCACTATTTTCTTAAATTTGAATTAACCGCTGAAAACTCTGCCATCAATTTTGAATGTAATTCATTCTCAATTTTGTAACATTGCTATCAATTCTGATTGCAAATTGATTTCATTTTTTAGGTGGAATCAACAGTTAATAATACTGTCATCAAATCTTAAAGTCATTCAGTAATTCACTGTAATTTCTCGGGCAGGATAATGTTACCTTCACAACTGTTAATTACTGTAACTTCATCATCTGATAACTTTGTTACTAAAATATAAATGAATGCTCCAAATGATCTGTTTAAAACGTATACTCTATGACAGACAACTCTGGCTTTAAGAACGACTGAAACCATTTAAGTATATTCCCAAGAAGAATCTAATAGAAGCCTATCATTTACCTTAAAAAATAAACGTTAGGTCTCTAAAGGTCTCTAAGTTAGGACAAACATCGCAATCTACAAACAACTTTGCAGAATAAAATTAATGTAGTAGCTCCGCAGAAATATTTTTTTTTAAATATGGCTGATGACAAGCCCGAGTCATTTTATCTTAAAAAATATATGCATCCAGCAGGTCTGTTAAAACGTCCAATCAGAAGATAACAACTCTGCAGACAATGATTAAGTGTGGAAAATCTGAACCATATTCCACTACTCCAATCCTAAAATACTAAAGTTTATTACCAAAATAAAGTGGAGGAAAGGAGAAATCACTGTCACGTTCCAGAAAAGAATGAACCACTTATCTCCCATTTTTGCAAAATACAAGAACATGTGCTAAACATCTCCATGATTAGTCGACAGTGTGAAGCCTTTAGCTAATAACTTTGCCCGAAAATTATGAATGACTGTTACTGGCATCAGTGACGTCATATAAATATGTAAATTACAGCTGAGGACTTGCCAGGTAAAGGCTCTCAATGATTGCCTAAAAAGCTGGGATCAACAGTCGACAACTTTGCTGAGAGAAATGAATGAATGCAGTAGATCAAGGTCTGCAAGTCTGTACATTCAATCACCTGAAGAAGATAAAGATATAAGAAAGTAAATACCAATTCAAACAAGATCAATATAATAAACACCCAAGTCGCTTATCTCTTTCAGTGTCAAACAACATGTGTGTTTTAGCTCTTTCCAGTGAGTCCATACCTTCAAACATTACACTGTCTAGTTTCCCTTTTCCAGAGCCTACTAGAAAAATCTGGCTTTAACACTGGCTACTGTAGTATTCCATTATTCATAATGTTTTACAACTAGGAAGGATGAAAGAGAGGAAGGAAGATTATCCACAGCATGTATGGATTCTGGTTCCTCACCACTACCAAAGAATGAGTGCAATGAACTAGTGTGATCAGACAGGAAGTATATCAGTTTACTAATATAAACAGTTTCACAAATCGTGCACTTTCATAATTTTATTCTAAGCCTTAAGAAAGAAAGAAAGAAAGAAAGAAAGAAAGAAAGAAAGAAAGAAAGAAAGAAAGAAAGAAAGAAAGAAAGAAAGAAAGAAAGAAAGAAAGAAAGAAAAAAAGGAAAGTGAGAGAGAAAGAAAGAAAGAAGAAAGAAAGAAAGAAAGAAAGAAAGAAAGAAAGAAAGAAAGAAAGAAAGAAAGAAAGAAAGAAAGAAAAAAAGAAAGAAAGAAAGAAAGAAAGAAAGAAAGAAAGAAAGAAAGAAAGAAAAAAAGAAAGAAAGAAAGAAAGAAAGAAAGAAAGAAAGAAAGAAAGAAAGAAAGAAAGAAAGAAAGAAAGAAAAGAAAAAAAAAAAAAAAGACCCTGTGTGGTATCCGGAGCCCCACTGTGGGGGAAAACAAGAATAGACCCACTGCCTACCAAAAAGCATTTTGTAAGAATCGACTAATTGGTAGCTTCCTTTGAAGTCGGAGTGCATCTGCCTGAGAGGCAAGGAACCAACAGTCTGCATTCAAGTGAATCAGATCTGTAAAACTGATGCACACGCAACACTCAGGTTCTGGTTCAGGACTGCATTTCAGGTGTGGACGAACAACCAGAACTTTCTGCCAGAGTGTACAGCTGGTGAACGCTAAGAAGAAAAAGAAGAAGAAGACAAAAAGAAAGAAAGAAAGAAAGAAAGAAAGAAAGAAAGAAAGAAAGAAAGAAAGAAAGAAAGAAAGAAAGAAAGAAAGAAAGAAAGAAAGAAAGAAAGAAAGAAAGAAAGAAAGAAAGAAAGAACATATCTCCACACTGACAAAACCTTACCTGAGTTTCCAACTGTTTGGGGGTATCATTTTGAAAATTCAATGTAAGTTTTGTCTGCCCATCGTCGGAGGAACTTTTCAACTGAGAAAATCTATAACTCCACAGTATACTCTATAAACAAGTGAAACCAAACAAAAAAAGTATTTTTTTTATAAATGAACAAACTATTAAAAATATTATCTATATATATTCACATCATGAAAGGTTTCTCTATAAATGTTATGCACATGAAAATACATATACCAATTATTATCAAAGAGCAGGTACGGCAAGTAATCTCAATGCTTCATGCTCTGACGACTCAGATGGCTGTCACTCTTGGAGGATGAAGGACGGTAGAGTCCCTAAGGACCTCTGTGGTGAATTACAGATGGGAGAAAGATCTCAAGGTCGGCCTCTACTACAATACAAAGAGTGTACAAGATGGACATAACTGATATGGGTATTGAGATAGATTTGGGGAAACATAATGCTATCTACCATGTTGCATGAAGGGGGAAATCAGAAAGGGAACAGAAATAAAGGAGAAAATGGTTGCAGACGGGTTGAGAGTTAAGTGTCCGAGAAGAAGCGTGATAAATATATATTTTGGCAACAATGGTCATGAAATCCCATGTTAAGATTATGGAAAACGTTTCTTAACGCGAGCAGGTCTTGCTAGTTATACTCGCCATCGCCACGGGCTGTGATTGCCATGCCTGCCAACAGCACAATATAATACTGTGTTCTGGAAAGACGGAAAGATGCCAGCATGAATCGCAATAGCAGCAGCAGCAACAACAAATAGTTATGTTATCATCAATGAGAAAACAGCAACAGACATACGGTGATAACTCAGTTAACGAGTGACCTGGCTAACAAATTACTCTGCTCCCAATATGGGCTCCGGGGCCCTATCACAGGGAAAAAAAATAATAGACCCACTGCCAACCCACAAGCATGTCGTAAGAGCTAACTAGCTGGGAGCTTCCTTCAAAGTCGGAGGGCATATTTGCGTGAGAGGCAAAGAACCAACTGTCTGCATAAAAATGAGTCAGATCTGTAAAACGTATGCACACGCAACACTCAGATTCTGGAACCGGACTGCAGTCCAGAAGTGGACAAACAAACATAACTATCTGCCAGAGTTTACAGCTGGTGAATGCAAACAAGAAGAGGAAGAAAAAACGATTCGGCTAACAAAGCCTTGGGGGGGGGGGGAGGAGGGGGAGGCCTTAAATAGCGAATCTGGATTTGGGTAACAAGTGTGCTTCCCTTGTGGATTCCGGGGCCCCACTGTGGGGGGAGGAGGAGGGGTTGGGGGGAGAGACTTACTGCCTCCCTAACAAGGATGTTGTAAGGGTCAACTAAAAAAAGATTTCCTTCTAAGTCAGAGTGCATCTGCCTGACAGGCAAGGAACCAATAAGCATGCAAAACTCTAGTTCTGTAACAAGACTAAAGTCAAGAAATATGCAAACAAGCAGAACTTTCTAACAGAGTTTACAGTTGGTGAAGGCGAAGAAGAAGAAGTGGATGCATGCTAACCTAATGTGTCCCCATGGTGAGCTGACTTTTTGCATCAATCACGTTTTTGCTAACAAAGATGTTGGTTAAGAAATGTGACTCTGGAACAAATTCAGATTCATAAGCCAAAGTATCACTGTACTTGAAATAATGTTAGCATCCCAGAGATTACTTGTGTCGCTTCTATCAACTAATTCAGTCCCAAACAACATGCGATTGTGTTTAACACTTTGTGAATCCCACCCAATATATAATATGTTCTAGTTGTTTTTATTAACTGGTCGCAGTATATACTAAGAAATCTGGCTTTCTCAGTATGTAGTCTTTGAAAGCAATACACTCGTGGTTTTTCCTATTGGTTATTTATGCATATATGTTATTTTATGTTACAACAATCAATGTCTTTGCACACTGGGCATCCCCATGCATGCTCAGTTCTACCATACAGCAGTCACTCTAAGGTTCCTCTACTGATTATTCCCATGAGAAGTTGGTTCTAGCATCTCCTGTCTTTGCCTCAAAGACAGCATACTCGTGCTTCACCAAGCTTAACTCCTCAGTCACGCAGTTGTGTTAGCGTGAGAGATTTGCCATTATCATCCAGTCCTAGTCCGTACAGCGCTGATGATATCAGCTTTGTCCATACTTCTTCCCACTTGCATTGATGCTTTACTTGCCAGCTGGTCAGCTCTTTCATTACCATTTACTCCTGCATGCCCAGGTGTGTAGATCCAGATGATGGAGGTTATCTATTCATACAGGGATCTCTAGCAAAACCTTTTCGTACCCAAAGAGTTAATCTGGTAGACTGTAGATTGTACTGTGAAGACAACAGCTACCACTACAACAGAAACTCTTGGACTCTTTAACAGGAAAGCTTGATGCTCTGGGTTCTGCTGGATACCTTTGCTGATAACAAATTTGTCTCACAATCAAACCTTTCTCTGATGAAGGTAAATCTCTCTAACAATCATATCTCTGACAATGAAGATAAATATGCCTAACAATCACATTTTTGTCTGACAATGATAATATATCTGTCTAACAATCCTACCTTTGTCTGATCATGAAGATAAATATGTCTAACAATCACATTTTTGTCTGACAATGATAATATATCAATCCTACCTTTGTTTGATCATGAAGATAAATATGTCTAACAATCACATTTTTGTCTGACAATGATAATATATCAATCCTACCTTTGTCTGATCATGAAGATAAATATGTCTAACAATCATACTTTTTTCTAACAATGATGATAAATCTGTTTAATCCATCTAACAACCATATCTTTGTCTGATAATGAGGATAAATCTGTCAATCAATCATACCTTTGTCTGATGATGATAAATCTGTCAGACAATCACAACTCTGTCTGAGGATAATGATAATCCTGTCTAACAATCACAACTTTGTCGGAGGATGATGATAAATCTAACAATCATTCAGTTTTGTCTGATAATAATGGTGAGTCTGTTTAACAATCATACATTTGTCTGAAGAGGATAAATCTGACAATCATACCTTTGTCTGATGGTCATACAGAGAAAATCCCTGCTCCAGGTCGAGTATCAGACCAGAAAGATGGTCCTGCCACACGCAGCCAAATGTTTTACTCTGCGAACAAACAACAAAAAAACATGGATCAACCATTGCACTCACTGTGTGGGTTCTGAGACCTAATTCTGGGTGAAAAAAAATAGGTCCACTGCCTCCCCAACAGACACAAACACTAGGAAAAGACAGTTATGGGGCAGCACAACAAATGTAAAAAACCCAGAAAAATGGGGTGAAGGTGGGGTGAGGAAATCTAGAGAAAATGAGACCGGATGGAGAGGGGACAAAGCAAGAGAGAGTAAGGAAAGGAAGAGAGGATGGATGGAAAGATAATGGAGAAGTGTGGAAGATCAAAGGAAAGAGAAGGGGTGAGAGAAGAGAGGTAAGACATAGTTGGGGGGGGGGGCGGGGGTGGCAGTAAGAACACTAAGCAGCAAAAATAGAATTAGGAAATCTAAGTGAGGCCACTTTTCCGGTTCCTACCCTCTCCCAATGTGAATGTAGCCATGGTCCATAAACATACCGCCTCATGCTTGTCTGCCTCATGCTTGTCCGCCTCAGGCTTGTCTGCCTCAGGCTTGTCTGCCTCAGGCTTGTCTGCCTCAGGCTTGTCTGCCTCAGGCTTGTCTGCCTCAGGCTTGTCTGCCTCAGGCTTGTCTGCCTCAGGCTTGTCTGCCTCAGGCTTGTCTGCCTCAGGCTTGTCTGCTTCAGGCTTGTCTGCTTCAGGCTTGTCTGCCTCATGCTTGTCTGCCTCATGCTTGTCTGCCTCATGCTTGTCTGCCTCAGGCTTGTCTGCCTCAGGCTTGTCTGCTTCAGGCTTGTCTGCCTCATGCTTGTCTGCCTCATGCTTGTCTGCTTCATGCTTGTCTGCCTCAGGCTTGTCTGGCTCATGCTTGTCTGCCTCAGGCTTGTCTGCCTCAGGCTTGTCTGCTTCAGGCTTGTCTGCTTCAGGCTTGTCTGCCTCATGCTTGTCTGCTTCAGGCTTGTCTGCCTCAGGCTTGTCTGCCTCATGCTTGTCTGCCTCAGGCTTGTCTGCCTCAGGCTTGTCTGCCTCATGCTTGTCTGCTTCAGGCTTGTCTGCCTCAGGCTTGTCTGCCTCAGGCTTGTCTGCCTCAGGCTTGTCTGCCTCAGGCTTGTCTGCCTCAGGCTTGTCTGCCTCAGGCTTGTCTGCCTCAGGCTTGTCTGCCTCATGCTTGTCTGCCTCATGCTTGTCTGCCTCATGCTTGTCTGCCTCATGCTTGTCTGCCTCAGGCTTGTCTGCCTCAGGCTTGTCTGCCTCAGGCTTGTCTGCCTCAGGCTTGTCTGCCTCATGCTTGTCTGCCTCATGCTTGTCTGCCTCATGCTTGTCTGCCTCATGCTTGTCTGCCTCATGCTTGTCTGCCTCATGCTTGTCTGCCTCATGCTTGTCTGCCTCAGGCTTGTCTGCCTCAGGCTTGTCTGCCTCAGGCTTGTCTGCCTCAGGCTTGTCTGCCTCATGCTTGTCTGCCTCATGCTTGTCTGCCTCATGCTTGTGACTTCAATAGCTATATTTATTACACTCAAGGCTGGTGGACCTGGGAGCTAAGGTCATTTTAAGAGAGAGAAAAGGCCCATCACTTGTGGAAAATAGAGCATGATTAAGAAAAAAAAATAGGTCAGGGCACCAGTGGACTTTGTTTTATTTCTGATTTTCCAATTACAGAAAGGAGAGGGGAGAGGAGGTGGAAGGTGGTGTAGAAGGCTGAGATTGTGAGGGTGAGACAGAGGAGGAGAGAACAGTGAAAGAGAAAAAGAGAGAGAATAAAGATTAAGAAAAGAAAGTGGGGACAGAGACAGGTAGAGAAAGAAAAGAGAAAGAAATAAGATAAGATATAGAGGGTAAAGGGTAGCAGAAACATCACTGTGGGAGGAAAAAGGCTGGTACATGGCATGTCGTACAAGGTGACTCATCATCATCAGTTCTCGTTATGCCTAGTGGCACATGGGGCTTCAGAGAGGACTTTCCATGCTTTCCTTCCTGTGCAATCTTCAGTACAGTTTTCCATGTCAAAGATGCCGCACTCAGGTTACTTCCCATCGTCCGTCTCCATGTTGTTTTTGGGGGCCCCTGTTTTCTCTTTCCCTCTGGTGTCCATGTGAGAGCTGATTTGGCAGGTATATCAGAAGTCATTCTCATAACGTGGCCAAGCCATTTCCATCTTCTCTTGGTAATCATACTGTCTAGAGTTTCTTGGTTTGTGACTTGAAGTAGTTTAGTGTTTGAGATTGTATCTGGCCAGAAAATTTTGATAATTCTACGTAGACATGTGTGGTGCGAGGTGGACAGCTTGTGTACATCCTTTTTGATCATTCTCCAGCATTCTTCTCCATAAAGAAGAACTGGCAAAATGATGCTCTTGTAGAGTCGGAGTTGTACAAGGTGACAAATAAGGGAATTTGTCTTCAAAGTCTAAATGTATTTCCCTGACAGGTGAGGAACAAACTGAAAACATATAAACCAGATCTGTAAAATGGATTTGCATGCAAAATTCAAGTTCTGGAACACAATCAAAGTGCAGAAATATACAAACAACCAGAACTTTCCAATAGAGTTCACAATTGGTGAAGACGAAGAAGAAGAAGGAGGAGGAGAAGAAGAAGAAGAAGAGGAGGAGGAGGAAGAAGTAGTAGAAGAGAAAGTGGGGGAGGTGGAGGCGGAAGAAAAAGAGGAAGCGGGGGGATGAGGAGGCAAAAAAAAGAAGAAAAAAAAGATGAAGAATCAATGCACAAGAAGATTTCTCATTTTACACAGAAAACTTGAAAAAAAAAAAACTGTGTGCTATCTCCAAACTAAATCTGCTGGCCAAACAGTTAGGAATACTGTGCTCTTTTGCAGGAGACCCAGTTTCAAATTCTGGGTAAGGTTGGGCATTTTCTGTTTCTGTCTGGAGCACACACACAAAATCATAACCTGCGCAGTCCATGGTGACAGCACTAGCCATGCCATGTTAAATATTCTGGCTCAAAGACCACATCACTCACTGAGTGCCAATGGTCTATAACAGGGCTATTCAACTGGCGGCCCGCGGGCCAAATCTGACCCGCCAAGGCCTAGCAAGTGGCCCGCGGAACACTTCTAGCTGTATTGTATTTTCGATCTATCTATGCTGGGGCTAAGACCTCTGGCCCGTGACGATCCCCGTTTTTGAACATTTTGGCCCCTGAAACAACTTAGTTGAATAGCCCTGGTCTATAATATACAGGTCTAGCCCTATATGCCCAAAATGCCTGTAAAAAGGTCCTTTACTTTACTTTCACACTGTCCCACTGTGAATCTTCTTGGTGAAGATTTCATGCGAAGCCAAAATCTCATCCAGTGTGACTATTATACTACAGCCAGAAAACCTCAACAATTTTTTCCCCCCTCAACTCTTTCAGTCCCAGCCAATCTAGCAAGTGTGATCAGCCCCTGCCCATGATCTCATGTTTAGGCTTAATATACTACAGAAACCTGGCCAGTTATTTCCATGCACCAACTAGGTAAATGTGTTGCTGCATCTGTGACAGCCAGGTTAATCCCCTTTACATTCACTGTGAATACTGCTACCCTAAGGAATATCCTACAAATTCTTCTGGTACTTCAAAGGTTAAAAGGACCCTCTATCAATTAAATCGAACCTCAGTACTCACAGATCATGAAAGTGTTAAATACTCAGTATTGTTGGGTTTTTCAGAGGGGGGGGGGGGGTGTGTGTGTGTGTGTGCATGTGTATTTGCTGATGAAGATGTTTTAACAGGAATGTTTATTTTGTCACTAGTGATTGTGTATTCTGTTTCTAATGTTTTGATTTTTTTCCAAGCTGATGAGTTCGTACCTCTCATCTGGATTTTCTTTTTTCCCTTCCAGAAGCCGGGACCTTTTTCCCCAAAAAAAACTTTAGTTTCTAGGTCGACCCAGCCTTAAATGGGTACCCGATAAAGTCCTGGGAAGTAAAGGCGGCTGGCATGATGCTGACCACATCCCCCACTGAGTGCCAATCGGTCTATAATATATAGGTCCAGCCCTATAAGCCGCCTACATTTGAAGGCGTGAAAATGGGCTCTGTCCTTTATTCACTACGCTACCAAGACTCTAATACTAATAAAGGCAAACATAAACAGGACATGCACTGCTAACAAAAAGACCAAAGACTAACACAGGGCAACATAAACAGGACATGCACTGCTAACAAAAAGACCAAAGACTAACACAGGGCAACATAAACAGAACATACACTGCTAACAAAATGATCAAAGACTAACACAGGGCAACATAAACAGGACATGCACTGCTAACAAAAAGACCAAAGACTAACACAGGGCAACATAAACAGGACATGCACTGCTAACAAAAAGACCAAAGACTAACACAGGGCAACATAAACAGGACATGCACTGCTAACAAAAAGACCAAAGACTAACACAGGGCAACATAAACAGGACATGCACTGCTAACAAAAAGACCAAAAACTAACACAGGACAACATAAACAGGAGATACACTGCTAACAAAAAGACCAAAGACTAACACAGGGCAACATAAACAGGACATGCACTGCTAACAAAAAGACCAAAGACTAACACAGGGCAACATAAACAGGACATGCACTGCTAACAAAAACAAAAACAAAAGATTACCACAAGTCTCTTCACTGCCAAATTACTCGTCTTATACCAGGCTGTCTCCAAGTTGAGCAGCCCAGTTCGGTTCTCCAAGCTGAGACAGATCACCTGTTTAGAGCCTGTCTGTATACTACAACAGTGCTGACGATTGTCAGGCACTTCTGTTCCCTGCAACAGCAAAACACATTTGTTTTCAATTACAAGGTAACAGAACATAGTTTCTTGTGGGGGAAAAAAAGTTGTTTTTTTTCTTTTTTTTTTTTTCATGTTTTAAAAAATAAATGCAAGGCAACAGGTGTTAGTTTAGTGTGGAAAACATAAAGATAACAAAACTATTTGATCATAAACACAAGGTACAGGGCAAGTTTAGTATAAAGATTTGTTTTTAAAAACTGTTTAAAAAAAATTTAAATTAAGACACTAGAGAAAGGTTTAGTGTGAGGGGAAAAAAAAAAGAAGAAAAAAATGGCTAAAACTACATACAAGGTACCAATATAGTTTTTGTGAAAAACATAAAGGTACAAAACCTTTTAAAAAATGTATTCAAGACAGCAGCGATTAGTTTAGCGTAGAAAACATGACGATTTTTTGTAAGTTAATAAGTAAATACAGGGCAACAGAGGTTAGTTTACTGTGGAAAATATGAGATAAAAATATTGTTTTCTTCTCTGAGTTACCTCAAACTTCCTTCGAAAAGAAGAAGAATATAAAGAGGAAGAAGAAGAAGAAAAGAGGAAAAGAAAGAAGAAGAAGAAGAAGAATTAGAAAGAATCTTACCTTGAGTATCTTGAACATACACTCATATACTTTGTATTTCATCTCACACTTAGCCCAGTCGTTCGAGTGCATCTAAAGGGTTAAACAAATAAATCATAGCTCAAGGTATACACATAAATAATAGGGGTTGTCATAAATATCACATTCTCCCAAGATTTTTCCTAGTCTTCTTAAAATGGACATAATGTCACAATTTGCCCTGGTCTTCTTAAAATGGACATAATGTCACAATTTGCCCTGGTCTTCTTAAAATGGACATGTCACAATTTGTCCTGGTCTTAAAATCGACATAATATCACAATTTGTCCTGGTCTTCTTAAAATGGACATAATATTACAATTTGTCCTGGTCTTAAAATGGACATGTCACAATTTGTCCTGGTCTTCTTAAAAACGACATAATATCACAATTTGTCCTGGTCTTAAAATGGACATGTCACAATTTGTCCTGGTCTTCTTAAAACTGACATAATGTCACAATGTGTCCTGGTCTTAAAATCGACATAATATCACAATTTGTCCTGGTCTTCTTAAAATCGACATAATGTCACAATTTGTCCTGGTCTTCTTAAAATTGACATAATGTCACAATTTGTCCTGGTCTTCTTAAAATCGACATAATGTCACAATTTGTCCTGGTCTTCTTAAAATCGACATAATGTCACAATTTGTCCTGGTCTTCTTAAAATCGACATGTCACAATTTGTTCGGGTCTTTAAATCGACATGTCACAATTTGCCCTGGTCTTCTTAAAATCGACAAGTCCCAATTTGCCCTGGTCTTAAAATCGACATAATGTCACAATATGTCCTGGTCTTCTTAAAATCGACATGTCACAATTTGTCCTGGTCTTAAAATCGACATAATGTCACAATTTGTCCTGGTCTTCTTAAAATCGACATAATATCACAATTTGTCCTGGTCTTAAAATAGACATAATATCACAATTTGTCCTGGTCTTAAAATCGACATAATATCACAATTTGTTCTGGTCTTAAAATGGACATATCACAATTTGTCCTGGTCTTAAAATAGACAAAATATCACAATTTGTCCTGGTCTTAAAATCGACATAATATCACAATTTGTTCTGGTCTTAAAATGGACATATCACAATTTGTCCTGGTCTTCTTAAAATTGACATAATATCACAATTTGTCCTGGTCTTAAAATTGACATAATGTCACAATTTGTCCTGGTCTTCTTAAAATCGACAAGTCCCAATTTGCCCTGGTCTTAAAATCGACATAATGTCACAATATGTCCTGGTCTTAAAATCGACATAATGTCACAATATGTCCTGGTCTTAAAATAGACATAATATCACAATTTGTCCTGGTCTTAAAATAGACATAATATCACAATTTGTCCTGGTCTTAAAATTGACATAATGTCACAATTTGTTCTGGTCTTAAAATGGACATATCACAATTTGTCCTGGTCTTAAAATAGACATAATATCACAATTTGTCCTGGTCTTAAAATCGACATAATATCACAATTTGTTCTGGTCTTAAAATGGACATATCACAATTTGTCCTGGTCTTCTTAAAATTGACATAATATCACAATTTGTCCTGGTCTTAAAATTGACATAATGTCACAATTTGTCCTGGTCTTAAAATTGACATAATATCACAATTTGTTCTGGTCTTAAAATAGACATAATATCACAATTTGTCCTGGTCTTAAAATCGACATAATATCACAATTTGTCCTGGTCTTAAAATCGACATAATATCACAATTTGTCCTGGTCTTCTTAAAATGGACATAATATTACAATTTGTCCTGGTCTTAAAATGGACATGTCACAATTTGTCCTGGTCTTCTTAAAAACGACATAATATCACAATTTGTCCTGGTCTTAAAATGGACATGTCACAATTTGTCCTGGTCTTCTTAAAACTGACATAATGTCACAATGTGTCCTGGTCTTAAAATCGACATAATATCACAATTTGTCCTGGTCTTCTTAAAATCGACATAATGTCACAATTTGTCCTGGTCTTCTTAAAATTGACATAATGTCACAATTTGTCCTGGTCTTCTTAAAATCGACATAATGTCACAATTTGTCCTGGTCTTCTTAAAATCGACATAATGTCACAATTTGTCCTGGTCTTCTTAAAATCGACATGTCACAATTTGTTCGGGTCTTTAAATCGACATGTCACAATTTGTCCTGGTCTTCTTAAAATCGACAAGTCCCAATTTTCCCTGGTCTTAAAATCGACATAATGTCACAATATGTCCTGGTCTTCTTAAAATCGACATGTCACAATTTGTCCTGGTCTTAAAATCGACATAATGTCACAATTTGTCCTGGTCTTCTTAAAATCGACATAATATCACAATTTGTCCTGGTCTTAAAATAGACATAATATCACAATTTGTCCTGGTCTTAAAATCGACATAATATCACAATTTGTTCTGGTCTTAAAATGGACATATCACAATTTGTCCTGGTCTTAAAATAGACAAAATATCACAATTTGTCCTGGTCTTAAAATCGACATAATATCACAATTTGTTCTGGTCTTAAAATGGACATATCACAATTTGTCCTGGTCTTCTTAAAATTGACATAATATCACAATTTGTCCTGGTCTTAAAATTGACATAATGTCACAATTTGTCCTGGTCTTCTTAAAATCGACAAGTCCCAATTTGCCCTGGTCTTAAAATCGACATAATGTCACAATATGTCCTGGTCTTAAAATCGACATAATGTCACAATAATGGTCTTAAAATAGACATCACAATTTGTCCTGGTCTTAAAATAATATCACAATTTGTCCTGGTCTTACATAATGTCACAATTTGTCCTGGTCTTAAAATAGACAATTTGTCCTGGTCTTAAAATAGACATAATATCACAATTTGTCCTGGTCTTAAAATCGACATAATATCACAATTTGTCCTGGTCTTAAAATGGACATATGACAATTTGTCCTGGTCTTCTTAAAATTGACATAATATCACAATTTGTCCTGGTCTTAAAATTGACATAATGTTTTGTTCTGGTCTTAAAATAGACATAATATCACAATTTGTCCTGGTCTTAAAATCGACATAATATCACAATTTGTCCTGGTCTTAAAATCGACATAATGTCACAATTTTTCCTGGTCTTAAAATCGACATAATGTCACAATTTGTCCTGGTCTTAAAATGGACAAAATATCACAATTTGTCCTGGCCTTCTTGAAATCGACATAATATTGAATATATATATCACAATTTTTAGTCCTGGTCTTAAAATTGACATACAACCGTTTTTTTATTTCCCTGCCTCATGGGCAGCTGTACGCCGACTTCGAAGGAAGACGTCAGGCCTATTTCTAGGGTGACTGTGGCCATTGTTTTGTGTGGGTCGAGACGTTGCCTGATTTGTGTGGTGTCCACTTCGTCTCCTATGCCGCAGGTATTGCCCCCGGAGTACCCCTTTGGGTCGGCCCCCTGTGGAACAGTTAGCCCTCAAGGGAAGGCAGGGGCAGATCTTGGGCATTCCCCGCCATCCAAGGAGGCATCCATGTATGCAGAGCCGACACATGGCGCTCTGGTTCTGGGCTCACCCAAGGAATCGTCACGTCCTGCACAAGCCTGCTTAACCTCACAACCGTATCAGGCTTCCCGCTCGACAGGGGCTGCGCCCTCTGGGGTCAGCGGGGAGCAGCCCGCAGGTTTTTGGACTTTTTGTAACCACACAGATAGGTACATTCTTTTTTCCTCGCACGTTAGATTTCTTTGACGAGCCGTTAGCCCGACAGATTTTACATCCTGCATCAGGCATATCGTTATCAGTTTTTGTCCCAACACTCGGGCGAGTGGTGTCCTTGGGTGTGGACATTCGGTCTTTTTCAGTTCAATTCTAATTTTGAGGTCAGATTTTGATCCGTATGATCTAGTTTTGTCGGAAATTTAGGCTTAGCCATCCGATCGATGGATGGTTGCTGTTGTGGTGTACCACAGCGCGGTGACGACGACACTGAGGGTTTTACCAAGGACATGAATGGCCAGCCTATGGATGGTTGCTGTTGTGGTGTACCCCAGCGCGGTGACGACGACACTGAGGGTTAACCAAGGATGTACATGAATGGCCAGCCTATGGATGGTTGCTGTTGTGGTGTACCCCAGCGCGGTGACGACGACACTGAGGGTTAACCGAGGATGTACATGAATGGCCAGCCTATGGATGGTTTCTGTTGTGGTGTACCCCAGCGCGGTGACGACGACACTGAGGGTTAACAGAGGATGTGCAGTGAACAATGTTCTCTTTATTCCGCCGTCTTTTAACCAAGGGTTGTAATTTTGGCTGTACGTTTGGCAGACCTGCTCATGTTCTAATGAGTTTTGATAACAGTTTTTTCACCCAAGCGTTTGGGGGCGGGCTGATGAGAGCCACATGGACACATCACCTCTGGGGGCCGCCAAACTCCGAGATCCCCTGACAGCTCTGTTAATGCTCATTTGAGACATTATCCGTGGCGCACGACGAGGACGTGCTGCCGGGGTCTTGCGTGAGGTTCCGTACAACCAGGATATTAAAGAACTGGCGCCCGAGTGACGTACGGAGTATCTCCTTATATACATCATGTTGGACTTAACTTCCCCTCACGCCTGTGACATAAATCACCGCGCCACAACCTACCACCAAAAAATATAATGAATTTAACCAAATGACACACCGAAGTGAGAATAATTGAGTTAGGTATAGACACAATAAGATAAACTTTTTCATAAAATTACGTACCGGGGGAACATCAAACAAATATACGTCTGCAGCTTTCAACGCCAAAAACTTCTCCTTCCACACCTGCCAGTGTTCAGTTTGAGGCATTCGTTCATACACCCAACACATAAGTTGAATCTGTGGAATCAATTTAATCATCGTCATCATCATCATCCTGTAAAACTATGTGTCGTTGGGTCACCAGTTTCTGTTGACTGTCTGATAAGCTCTCTCCACTTTTGGCAGTCAATTGTGATGGACTTCACAGTTGCACACCTAAGGCCTGTCCAGTCAGTCATGTTCTGTAACCAGGTCTTTCTTGGTCTCTTTTCCTCTTCCCCTCTACTGAGCCCTGCAGTATTGTTTTTGAGAGGCCGTTAGATCTTATTTCATGTCCATACCATTGCATTTTTCGCCTTTTCACTGTAGTCAAAAGAGGTTCATAGTTGCCACTGTGCTGTATAATTATATGGCGAACCTCTTCGTTTGTAATGTGGTCTCTGTATGATATGCCAAGAAGTTTTCTGAAACATCGCATTTCTGATAGTTGTATCTTTCTTTGAAGTTCAGCTGTTAAGGTCCATTCTTGACAAGCATATGTAAATGTACTAAAAGCTAGCGCTCTGAGCAATCGCAACTTAGTTTTGCATTAGATGTTTTTGGATCTCCAAGTTTGCTGCTTGGCAAGGACTGATGTCTGGGCAATCCTAGACATGGATTTCTGGTCTTAACCTCAAGTCACTTAAAATCAATTCAATACATTGCTGTAATCACAGATATCGGGCAATCAGGTAATTGCAGTTTCAACTTCATAGAAAACAGATCACCCGATAATCGCTCCATTCCCATGGCAATGAAAACCACAGAAAATGTCCATCAGTGTCCCTTCTACAAAAATTGATAGAAAGTGCGGTCTCAGCATATCCAATAGCACACACATGCAGCAAATGCATAAGGCAGCTATCACAAGTGCTAAACACAAACAGTTAGTTAGTTAGTTAGTTATTCCTCTTGTGCCAAAGATGGCGCATAGGGCAGAGGTCATAGCTTTCCACGTCTGTCGGTTCTTTGCCACTTGATGTAGGTCTTGAGTGCGACTGAGACCTATGGTTGAGCTCTCCCTTGTGATGGTTCTACGGAGAGTTTCTTTTGGTCTTCCCTGTTTTCTTTTACCCTCTGGTGACCATATGAAGGCTTGGTGGGGAAGTCTCTGTATGTCCATTCACACAAACAGTCCAACACTAGAAATACAGTTCATCATCAGTGGAAGCAGCAGTTACTATATATTGGTAGTTGCACACGTGCTCAATCACATAAGGCATCAGCAGTTAGTTCTGTGGCAACACCAGCTGTAACCTCCAACAGAAGGTTCTGGATGTTCGTCCACCTCTGGACTTTAGTCTTGTTACAGAACCTGAGTGTCCCAGACTTATTTGTATGCAGACTTTGGGTTCCTTGTCTCTCAGGTAGCCCCCATTTCCTCAGAGGAAGCCCCATTTAGTCAACTCTTACGCCATGCTTTTTTGAGTTGGCAGTTGGTCTATTCTTGTTTTCCCTAAAATGAGGCATAGGAACCTTCATGGAGAGTGTACATTTTAAAAGTCTTAACAAATGAAAAGCGTGTTAACATTCTAAAACAGTAGCAATCAATAGATGGTACAGACACATAGGTGGACGTTCAGAGGATATTGGGAGCAGCACTTCTTTGCTAAGAGTGCAAGAATTGGGAGTAAAGATCGGCACACAGCCAGACACGAGAAGCACACTGGGCGCACAATAACTATCAGCCAACATAGGACCGGGACTATCAACCACAGGACGATGATGTACGTGTTGAAGGTGGAATCTGAGCACCTTTGAACATGTCTGGAGTGCCATGAAGATAACCAAAACCATAACACATAACATATTTTTTAAGTTTTGACAAATGAAAAAATGTAAACATTCTTAAAAAAGCAGCAATCAACTGATGGTACAGATACATTTTAAAACAGTTTTGACAAATGAAAAGACGTATACATTCTAAAACAACAGCAACCAATAGATGGAACAAATACATTTTACAACAGTTTTAAAAATGAAAAGACACTTACATTCTAAAACAAGCAACCAAGAGACAGAACAAATACATTTTAAAATAGTTTTACCAATGAAAAGACATATACATTCTAAAACAACAGCTACCAATAGATGGAACCAAAACAGTTTTAACAAATGAAAAGACATATACATTCTAAAACAACAGCAAAACAATAGACAGAATTAATACATTTTATAACAGTTTTGACAAATGAAAAGACACTTACATTCTAAAACAATAGCAACCGACTGAACAAATACATCTGAAAATAGTTTAAACCAATATGAAAAAAATGCACTTTAAAACACTAGCAATCAACAGAAAGTGCAAATACGTGAATTAAACTTACGTGATCATCTTTTGTCATCAGTTTATTGGTCATCTGAATCTTGTAGAAAGAGAAAGACATAAAGCTGATTATACTTTGCACAAATGTCATAAATAAGGTTTAGGTTTAAGTTCAGATGACGGATTAACATCAAGGCACAAGAGTAGTAACCCACAAGTGCTCCGTTCAAGCCTGAGCCTAAAGAATCTCAGCATAGTGCACGAACCTCGTAGCACCGGCGAGGACCTTGAAATACTTTGGGTGGATTTTTTACTTCAAATTTTGCCCAGGCAGCACCGTTAGGCTACTATTTTCAATTTCCAACTGCCAAGGGATTTTTTTTTACGTGCGCAGCAATACACACGGGCGTCCGATCTTACTACCCAGAGACCAGGGGGAATTACTAGAAGTGCACATGAAAAACTCCCAGCCTACACCGGGTATTCAACCTGGGACCTCCAGCACTCGAGGCGGATAACATGCCTCGAGACCACACAGCCCCTGTAATAAATAAAGGTAAAAAGGTAAAAGGTAAATCGGGAGATGTGAACCAGCGTCATTGCACACGGTTATAAGCCATAAGTGCTCTGCCACCAGTACGGACAGGTGATAAGAATTGTCCGCCTGTGTCGCCGTTCGCACGCAACTCTATAGCTACAGCGACATTCCTCCGTTTACCCCAGAGTATCACTCTGGTACCCATTTCCTAGAGGCTGGGTGAACCCCGGGAGCTGCCCGGTTTCAAACATCGACCTTGGCTGCAGCGAGTCGCAGCTGGATTTGAAAGCAAACTTCTTATCGACTGCGCTAACACAGCACTGGTTCAATGTAATAAATAAGTAAATGAGTGACTAGCCAATGCTGATATACAGAAGAGGATCTTGGGCAGTTAGCTGATTAGTTAGAAATTAGATTGGAGCAGCACAGATGTGGTTTTATAGATGAAAAATGAGAATATCATGGACAGATAAAAAGTATGATAATGATATCTCGAAGGAATTTTACAAAGAGAACTGATTGCCCACAACAGAAGGAGACAATCTACATTCTTTAGTCATGTTATGAGAAAAAGAAAATTGAAGCACATCGTGGCAGTGGGAATCATCCCTTAATTGGAAAATATAAAATAAAATTATCTTCTCATAACAGTGAAACAGAAGAGAGGAAGAGGAAGGCCAAGGAGAAGATGGGTGCAGGATGTGGCAGATGATCTCCAGATGGGTGTATCAGACGCAGGACATCTTGCTCAGGATAGGAAGGTTTTTCGGAGGGTTGTTATGGCAGCGAGGTTCCGCGAGGGACATGCTACTGAATGAATGAATGAACAGTGAAACAAGAGCTGAAGGAGGAAAAGAAACAAATTTCAGCAAAATCTTCTTCTGTATTTTTCCTTAAAACAGCAGTTTGTACGTTGTGTTGTGGTTTACAGCATGGTTATGATATCTGTGATTTTTTTTTTTTTTTTTTTTTTGCCTATGGGATCTGAGTTCACAAAAATCATAATTAGTCACCTCTTTTGTTAGACATATTAAGGGTCTGTTCTTGTATTTTCCTCACAAATGAGGCTAAGGAACCCTCGTAATAACATCATCAATGGCAAAGTTAACAACAACAATGGCAAAGTTAACAACAACAATGGCAAAGTTAACAACAACAATGGCAAAGTTAACAACAACAATGGCAAAGTTAACAACAACAATGGCAAAGTTAACAACAACAATGGCAAAGTTAACAACAACAATGGCAAAGTTAACAACAACAATGGCAACTAACAACAATAATAACTTTTTTTTTTCTTATATATATTTATATATATATATAGATATATATCATCATGTAGCAGGTCCTTTGCAGACCGTCACTCTCATCACAGTCTGCCTGAAAGAAACTCAAGTCTCTCCCTACTCATGTACTTTCATACTCAAGGAGTCACTTATATCCTGTGCCCATCTTTGTGATGGTCAGTCCCTGCCCCTCCTTCCTGGTACCATGCCTTCTGCTATTATTTTTTCCAATCGGCCATGGTGCTTGATTTGACCCCAAAAAAATTCAGCTCCCAAGACCACACATGCATATTTGTGTACCCTGTTCTTTCTTAGTGGTAGACAGAAGGACAAAAGATGTGTATATGTAAACAATAAAATCTACTATTACTTGCTTTAACACAAATAAACACATTTTTAATAGGTACCTTGATAAATGGAGGATATAAGCAGATTTAAACAAATGGACATTTCATTCAATGTCTTTCTCAATAAACAATTTTCCCCCGTGTAGGGCCCAATTGTGGGGAAAACAAGAATAGACCCAGTGCCTACCCAAAAGCATGTCGTAAGAGTCGACTAATTGGGGAGCTTCCTTTGAAGTCGGAGTGCATCTGCCGGAGAGGCAAGGAACCAACAGTCTGTATTCAAGAGAATGAGATCTGTAAAACTGATGCACACGCAACACTCAGGTTCTGGAGCAGGGCTGCAGTTCAGTAATGGATGAGCAACCAGAACTTTCCGCCAGAGTATACAGCTGGTGTACGCAAAGAAGAAGAAGAATAAACAATTTCTTTTTATTACCTGTTTGACCAAAGAAGCACCACCTCTTGCCTCATTCCCTGAAATAATATTTAAAAGCATAAAAGAATAAATAACAGCATTGATGTATGCAGAGACTGAGTAAAAAACAGCAAATCATTTTTGGAAGCTTTAATTCATAAATTTTTTTTTTAAATGGGGGCTGAGTGGTCTCTAGTGCTAGAGGTCCCTGGTTCAAGCCCCGGTGAAAGCTGCGATTTTTTCACGTGGACTTTTAGTAATTTTCCCTGGTCTCTGCGTAATAAGGCCTTGCGCACGTAAATAATCCCTTGGCAGTTTGAAATCAAAAAGAGTAACCTAATGGCCCTGCCCGGGCAAAATTTTGATTTAAAAATCTAACCCAATACCTACATATTTCTGAATTGTTCCGGCACTAGTTGTTTGTTAACCAGTTTTTTTTTAATTCGACAGTGAGGGACATTTCATTTGATTTGCACAGAACTGAGCAACTATGGGGGGAAACCTGATTGTGGTGATGTCAAAAATCTCGACTAAGACTAAGAATATATTTCATGGAGACCAAAGTGATCTTCTTCTTCTGACTGTTTACCGGCTGTAAACCCTGGGGAGGGGGGGGGGGGGTGGCGGCACACTCCTGGTTGCTGTCCACTCCTGATGGAGTCGGACTTCTTTAAAAAAATTACCTTGGCTCTCAAGTTGGCCTAGCCTTTAATGTGTATCAAGTAAAGTTATGGGAAGTAAAAGCGGGAGGCGTGATACAGACCACATCAGCCACCAAGTGCAGATTGGTCTATACTGACCCTATCTGCCCAATATGTCTGAGGGCGTGGAAAAGGGTCCTTTACTTTTACTGGTACGAATGCAATTGGAACTCTTCAATGGCTGCTGAAGATGAGGACGGAGCGCTTATGTTATTGTCCCCCTTGCTATTATGTCAATTCCTAGCTCATCACTCAACAAGGCGAGATATGGGTCTCCTATCTTGAAATAATTGTTCACATGGCTGCTGTGTCTAGGGCGCCAAGTTCACAATCTAAGAATGAACTTCTTTGGCTTTCGGAGCCCTTAGGATTCATTGCTGCAGATATCACCAACCTCCACTCATCTCCGTGATCCATCTTCTCTTTCTATTTGGTGATTCCCACTGTTTAAATAAATTATCTCTTCATTTTTCTTGCCTACTCATTCAATTATGATTACCAATACTTTAAAAACTAAGAAACGAAAAGGTTTTTGATTATAAATTTAAAATCTGGAACAAGAACAGTTTTAAAACCAAGTTATGTATTTTCAATTCTAATGTTATTTCAATTATTTCAATTTCACACATGCAAGTGAAAGCTGGAGAACAACTAAAGACAGGAACCAAAAGTAAAATGCAGTCAAAAACAAATATTTGGACCGAAAGTTAAATGCAGTCAAAAACAAATATCTGGACCCAAAGTTAAATGCAATCAAAAACAAATATCTGGACCCAAGTTAAATGCAATCAAAAACAAATATCTGGATCGAAAGTTAAATGCAGTTAAAAACAAATATCTGGACCGAAACTTAAATGCAGTTAAAAACAAATATCTGGACTAAAAGTTAAATGCAGTTGAAAACAACTATCTGGACCAAAAGTTAAATGCAGTCAAAAACAAATATCTGGACCGAAAGTTAAATGCAGTCAAAAACAAATATCTGGACCGAAAGTTAAATGCAGTCAAAAACAAATATCTGGACCGAAAGTTAAATGCAGTCAAAAACAAATATCTGGACCGAAAGTTAAATGCAGTCAAAAATAAATGTCTGAGAAAATAAAATGGGGTGAAATCAAAAGAAGTGAAGAAAAAGAGAAATATCTAAAGAAATAACAACCACTAATATCAACAGTTATTCAACAGAGAAGATGGCGCTACACTGGACACATCTGAGAAGAAACCGACAGAGAATCACCAAACAGGCATTACAGTGGGAAATAAAGGGATTAAGGAGGCAAGGACACCCAAAAGAAACATTGTTAATAGAGGTCACAGTTGCTGAACTGGATTCCATCCATGATGCCGAACTGATTGCAGAGGATAGAACGGAACTGAGGATGATTGCAAGCCCTATGTGACATATGATGACCATACAATGGCACAACAGGATCATGAATGAATGAATGAATGACAACTTCCTACCTTTATTGAGAAAAAATGAAGCTGGTCTAAAATGTCTGACGGACAGGGATAAAGTATCTTCCCTGACCTCTTTCAACAATGTCACGACCTCATCATGGGTACTGCTTTCTACGTTGACTCCATTGACCTGAAAAACAATTGTGCATGGAATTTTATGAACCTGTGTATATCTGTAAGAATTCCTGATATAGTTGCGCAAACCTCCTATAAAACCGAGGCATATAAACAGTATGAACCCCAGATAAACTGTATGAATATGCTATTAGCTGTATGAATCCTACATAAGCTGTATGAATCACATATAAACTATACCAAATTTTGATAGCTCCATGAAAATGTCATGTAAAACAGTCACATAAAACTGTATGAAGCCCATATCAAACGTATGGGTGGGTGGGTGGGTGGGTGTTGGGGAAGGGAGACCAAATAAAAATCCCATTTGAACTTATGAATTCTATACTTCTATTTCTTCTCTGTTTGCCCTTAACTCTTTGAGTCCCAGAGGGTTTAGTATCACAGGCCCAAGTGGGAGTCATGAAAGACGTAAAATCGGCGCATCATGGGGCTTCTAGTCAGTTAGTTAGTTAGTCTTTCCTCTTGTGTCGAGTGCGGCACATAGGGCAGAGGTCGCGACTCTCCATGCACGGCGGTCCGTTGCAATCCGTTGTAGGTCTTGGATGTTTGAGTGGCCCATGAGCGAGCCTTCCCTGATGATAGTTCTACGTAGGGTTTCCCTTGGTCTTCCACGAGATCTTTTCCCCTGTGGTGTCCAAATGAGGGCTTGGTAAGGAAGTCTTGATTTATAGAACGAATCATCGTGCAGTTAGAGTCAGAAATCTGATTCTATAACAATTGGTGGTTTTGCGATGACAGCTTGTCGGACCGTCGATCAACCGATATGCGCCGAGCTAGAGAGAAACACGTCCCGCCATCTTGACACAAACCGGAAATAGTCAGTAACCTATGAATATATGATGCGTTCCTTGGAACTCAAAGAGTTGAAAGGGAGTGGTACCATGCCGTCTGCTATTATTTTTTTTCCAATCCGCCATGAGCCTTGACATGACAAAAATATTTCAGCTCCCAAGACCGACTACCCGCCCGTTCTCCAACCCTATGTGTTTTCATTAGCCAATGCATCATCAATGTCTTGTATCCACATTCAAGGAGGTTGGCCAACCCACACAAAAACATGAAAATGGATACAGCCAAACAAAACAACAAAATCCTCACCCTCAAAATTGCATCTCCGACAAGCAACTGGCCACAACGATCACTGGCCTCATTTTTCACAATCCTCGAGATCAACACTGGCAGACGGTGTTCGGCACCTCCTTTAACACACAGGCCAAATCCAGCACCAGGTTCTCTGGTGATGTTGACATCCCTTACCTGTTGAAACCACAAAAATCAAATACTTTTCATATTTCGTTAGTTCTTCTTCCTTGTTCACCGGCTGTTAGCTCTAGCAGAAAGTCTTGGTTGTTCATCCATGTGGACTTACTTTGGCTTTGTGCCTGAATTTTGCGTGTACCTCCATTTTACTGACTTATTTGTGTGCAGCTGGTTATTCCTTGCTGCTCAGGCAGATGCACTGCAACTCTCAAGGAAGTCCACAGTTAGTTTACTCTTGCAAAATGTTTTTTTTTTAGTAGTGTGAGTCTGTGCTGAACTCACCATTTTACATAGACTATGAAAAAGCATTTGACAGCATTGATAGGGAATCTCTATGGAAATTGATGGGGCACTATGGAATTCCATAGAAAATTATTAACTTGGTAAAGGCAAGACATGAAATGTTGAGTTCTTCATGAGGGAAAGCTAACAGATACATTTGAAATAAAAACAGGTGTGCGACAGGGATGCTTTTTGTCGCCTCTCTTATTTTTACTGGCTATAGACTGGATTATGAAAACAGTAACTGCTAACACCAAGAATGGAATTCAGTGGACCCCTACAAAACAGCTTGAAGATCTGGACTTCACTGATGATATTTCTCTTCTGTCCCATCCATGGAATCAGATGCAAGATAAATTAAATATACTGGATGCGAGATCACAGCAGATTGGTCTGAAAATCCATAAAGGAAAGACAAAGATAATGAGAATAAATCAGGCAAATAGTAATGTGGTTTCTCTTAATGGTACCCCACTCCAAGATGTGGAGTCGTACACTCATTTGGGCAGTAATTTAGATAAAGATGGAGGAACTGATAGAGATATTAAAATAAGAATACAAAAGGCAAGAGGAGCTTTCATAGCACTAGGGAATTTCTGGAGGTCAAAAGAAATTAAAAGAAATACTAAACTAAAAATTTTTAATTCTAATATCAAATCAGTACTTTTGTATGGGGCGGAAACATGGAGAACAACTAAGGCAATCACTAATAAACTACAAACATTCATTAACTGGGGCCTGCGCAGAATAGAAGGAATTAAATGGTATGATAGAATAACTAATGTAGAGCTTTGGGAGAGAACTAAACAGGCTCCAGTGGTCCAAGAGGTGAGGAAAAGACGCTGGCATTGGATAGGACACACACTCAGAAAACAGGAGAACAGCATAACTAGAATGTCTTTGCATTGGAACCCACAGGGGCAAAGGAAAAAAGAAAGGCCAAAAAACACATGGTGAAGAGAGCTGGAGAATGAAGTTAGAAAGATGAGAAGGACATGGCGAGAGCTCCATGCAATGGCGAAGGATAGAACGACTTGGCGTGAGTTGGTTGAGGGCCTATGCTCCATTGGGGGATAGACAGGCAGAAGAAGAACAAGAAGAAGTGTGAGTCTATTCTTATCTATTCTCATGTGAGTTTCATGGCCCCATTTTAGAGAACAAGGAACAAACATGTCATAAAAGTCAGCTATTTTGAGGATTTCCTTCAAAGTTAAAGTGCAAATTAGCCAGATCTGAAAACAGATATGCACACAAAACTCAAGTTCTGGAACAAGACTAAAGTCCAGAAGTGGACGAACAACCAGAACTTTCCACCGGAGTTTACAGCCGGTGAACGTGAAGAATAAGAAGATAAAGGGAAACAAGAAATACGGAGAAGATATGGAGAGAGAGGTAAATAATATGGAGTGCGCAGCATGAGAGGACAAAGGATGGGAGAGTCTGGCATACGTTGGTTAAGAGACCCTACTGCAGTCCGATTAAAGGGCAGAAAACAAATTAGAGAAGATACTTGAGAGCCTTGCGTTATTGCATGGAAATATACCAGTACACAGAGGGGGATGCATGGTCTTAAGGTATGGTGTCCGCCTCGAGTGCTAGAGGTCACGGATTCAAGACTCGGTAAGGGCTGGCATTTTTTTCTGTTCACGTGGACTTCTAGTAATTTACCCTGGTCTCTAGGTAGTGAGATAGGATGCCTGTGTGTATTGTTGTGCATGCAAAAAAAAATCCCCTGGCAGTTAGAAATTGAAAATAGCCTAACAGCGCTGCCCGGGCAAAATTTGGAGTTAAATAATCTACACTAAATATTTCAGGATCCTCGCCAGTGCTAAGGAGCTTGTGCACTGTGCTGAGCTACTTCCGACTCAGACTTGAGTCAGAAGTAGAACCCGTGTGCCATGATATTGATCCATTGTTCAAACCTCAAACCAGCACACAGACTGACACACTCAGCTGAAGACAGGAAGCTGCAGAAACATGCAGCCCACCAAACAGTCACCAAAGTAACTGATGATGATGATTCAGTATGGCATCTGGATGTGCATGAAGAAGGACATACCATAATGAGAAACACTGCATGAGAATATACAAGCACATTCGGCGGAGAAGGCAAAATGCAGAAGAATCTGGTTTATCTGGGTCAAGATTCGACAACATGGCATTCAGGACTAGCCCATATCAGATTCGTCTCTCTCCTCAGCAGCCAGCTAAGAGTCTCCGTATTGACAGTTCTGTTATCTGTTATCATCTGATTAACTACTCATCTTGCCTTTTCTCCAAGTCTCGATCCACAGACCGCAAATCCCCCCCCCCCCTTATTTTCTTCTCTACTCCTGGAATGCCTCGCGGCATCAGGGTAGGAAGAGATCTCTGGACAGGCCCTTCTGTTCACTTCATATAAAGTACTTTTTAGTGTCTCTGATATTTTGGCGGACCATCTTCTGCATGGCTGACCTCTGGCTGTTACCGTTGTATATGTATAACACTGCACATTCTCTCTAAGTACGGGTTTTCAATACCATTTTTTTTAAACTTGTTACCTTGTTCCACGGGTGAGAGATCACCTCTGCCTTGTGAAGCTGAAGTACACCCCCATGTGGGGCTAATCTAGCCAACCTATCTGCCTGCTCATTCCCAAACATGCCTGCATGGCATGGGGAAAAAATATCCTTTGATTCTTACCACCTGTGCCCTCTGGATTTATGCAACCCACTTGATATGAAGAAAACCTGATTCCATCTTCCTGAGCATGCTTTTGAATCTGGTACTATGACAAAATGTATGGCTGAGATTGTTCATGGCCCACTGGAATGCTGCATGGTCTTAACTTAAATTTTCAGGTTGGATTTGTCATATACCAAGTTATGAGTTAGATTATATTCATAGAACTACGGACATATCCACAGGCGCTCAGATTCCCCTATCAACATATTCATCAGTGTTGCGCAGTCAATAGTGCCAGTCCTATGTTGGTTAAACAGATTTTGTGTACGTCCAGTGTTCTTCTCATGCTTGGCTGTGCCGATCTTTACTCCCAACTCTCGTATACTTAGCAGTGATATGGCACGTTGCTTCCAAAATCTTCAGAAGTTCTAAAGGCAATGGAAATGTCTGTGTGATCCATGGGCCAGCCATCTTCAGTTAATGCAGCACCTGCCAGTCTATCATTCATCCCCCCCCCCCTATGCTTTTGCAATGAAGCCCTATGCCCTCTTTCTGGCCCCGGCTTCTAACCCATCAGTGTAGAAGCATGCGGCACTCTAACCATTCAACAAAGCACTTGATGATGATTCAGTGTGGCACGTGAAGGTGTATGAAGGAGAACCACAAACAAAAACCACATATACCATATTGAGAAACACCTCGTCCTCTTCGTCCAGCTGTACACTGATCCACTCTTGTTTCTGTACCAACAGGGCATCTGTATACAGCATCAGCCTGATTGGGATTGGCTTGTTTTCACTATCACGCAGGGAAGCCTCCAAAATTTCTGGCTGCAATATTTTATTAAAAAATAGGTTAAAATCTTGATCTGGTGATCAAGCCACATGTTTCCCTTTGGAAAATCACCTTATTCATAGTTTAGGTTTTCTGAACCGAGCAGGTATCAATGTTTAACAGATCTTCATCTAAATAACATCATTAATCATATTTTTATTTTATGTTACTATCTGATAGTTACTAATTATTTGTATTAGTTTTGTTTAATTATTTGTATTTTTATTAATTTTACTATCACCATTTGCATTACTGTTAAAATTTTTTTTACTGCTACTACTACGAACATTACTCCTGTTACTTTTATTTGATTATTAGTAATATTATTACATTTTCATTCCATAATTATTTGTTCCCTTTCCTTTTCCTACAATAAAGTAAGTAAAGTTAAAAAAAATCGTCCACGTCTTGAGGTGTATCAGGCACAGAGACCTATATTTTCAGACCCATCTGCACACTTAGTAGGAGATGGAGTCAGCATCATGTTAGCCACATTTACTCCCTAGAACACCACTAGTACCCATTTAAGGCTGGGTCGACCAGGGAGCCAATGTAATTTTTTTTTTTACTCCAGCTTCTTTTGGATTCGAACCCACAACCTTTGGATCACCACAGGCAAGTGTTTTCCTCTTTACAGAAGTATAACAGTGTTTCTAGTTTTTTCTGGGCATTAGGTTAGTGTCTATTCACAATGAAATACCTAAAAGTCAGGAAGGAAGTATACACATTACCAACCAACAATAGAATTCATGAAGGAAACAAACATTACCACCCTAGATCTTATCTCTTTCAGTTCATATGTACCGCTGCTCTGTGTGAGTTCTGCTGCTCTACTTTTGGGGAACAAACATACACACACCGCCCTTTAAAAAGTAGGTCATAAAAAGCAACTAACAGGGTCTGCTGAAACTGGATTTGTTAAGCTGAAAGGTGCAGATACACCAACCCTGCTGTAAACCACGACATGCCAACCGCCCATTTTAAGGGCAAATGCAGAAGAAGAAGAAGATGAAGATATGACTGTTGTGAATCATGATCTGGTTACATTATACTGCAATATACTTCTCTACCAATGTCAAATTTCAGTGAAAGTTTGGCACACCCTGATGGTTTCTCAGTTTCTTCGTATTCATTTGTGATTCATTTTGGATTTATTTTACGAGTTCTCCTTGAGTGCCATGGCAGTAAGTGTAAAAATTATTATTTATTTTTACTCATTTCTCTAAACATTAAAAAGTTAGTTGCTTATCCTTTACAAGATGTTGCAGAGCCAACCCCAGAATTTTTTGGCTGTTGTGTGTTTTTTCATAGGTAAATTTTACATTCAGTAATCTGCCACTGCTTTCTGAACTCTCAGTACCACTGTCAAAACCAAAGCAAGACAAATCGTCCGCAGCTGGGATCGAACCCGGCATCCTTGCATTATGAAGCACATTTGCAATGCTTAAGCCACAGATGTCCACGAAAAATACCATAAACATGCCATCTGTTTATATAATAATACTAAGTCCTGGGAAAGTAAAGACAGCCGGCTGACCACATTACCCACCGAGTGCTGATGGTCTGTAAAAATATGGGCGCTCTTCCCATATGCCCGATACGTCTAAAGGCGTGGAAAGGGATCTTTACTTTTGTTACTTATTACCTACTAACATAATAATTCATTTTTGTAGCAGTATTCTAACATTATTCCTCATTATCCCTGGTTACCTTGATGTATAATATGTATATGTTGAATTGGTATAGTCTGTTTGTAACACTTGTGACATTTGAAAATTGCTTTACCAGTTTACCACCCGTTGTGCCTCATGCTTAACCCCCTTCGACTCAAGTCAAGAGTTGGGTGAGAGGTCTCTGCGACAAGACTTAGCGTTTTCTGCATCTCATCACAAGCAACACCACTACTACAAGTTTCTTGATCTACTCCTTACCTTACAGCCTTACATACTTGCAAGAGTGGAACAATCAGATTTCAAATTCATCATGAGGAAAGTTAGTAATTCTCTGCTTAAAACAATAACAACCATCTCTATATGGTAGTATTAGTATAGACAGTATATCATATATGGATGATGCCATAGAGATCGATCATCTGATGATGATCTCATATGTTGTCCGAGCAGATAAATCAAGAACTTTCAAATTCACATCATACATATATTAAAATGACATTACCTCTTCAGCGGCTTCCATTGTGTGAAGAATTCCTGGTGTAACGGTCTAATATCCCATGTAAAACGCCTGCAGACAGCAGAGGACGGGTTCCGACATTGCTCAACGATGCTGGAGGCAGGTGAAATTGCAGACTTGCTTACACCGGAAATGCAAATTTGGTTGCAAAAATAGCTTGGATTTGATTTTTTTTATTTCACATCCAATCCAGTAATATAAGGTTCTGGAAACGGAATGAATGAGTTGCGTTTCAAGAACTGATGCGTCTCTCAAGGCATTCCCATATGTGCTTCCTTCCCATCTTCAGCAGCCGAAGGAGTCTTAACCTTGATGATACTAGAGGCAATTTGATTGTATGTCCGTCTTGCCGTTCCTCTGAGCGGGGAATGCACAAATCATTCCCTTCACACCCCCCGACCCCGGTTGCACCATTCTCTTTAGACCGTGATAATCCAGTTGTGCCTCTGCACTGTCCATTCGCTCACAAAGGGCTTTACAACACCTATTATGAATTAATCAAGTAACAGAAAGTGTATTGATCGGCACTCATAAAAAGAAGTAGATAGATAGAAGAACACACTAGACAACATAAAAATCGAAAGCTATAGTTACCGTGCCGGGAATTGAACCTGTCACCTCCACAACACCTAGCTAAGTAGGCATCAGTTCACTGCCAGTGGTGTCGAATGATGGCGAGTGATGGCAGCAAATCTTGGAATGTCGGTGTACAAATTAAGAAGAATTTAGAAGCCACAGAGATTTAGTTTCTGAGACAAAAGTTACGAATATCTTGGACCTTAGAGTAACTAACAACCATTGTTTGAAAGAAGCTAATGAAAGTATATCTTTAGGCACAACAATAAGAAAGACAAACACACTTCTTTGGCCACATAATGAGAAGAGGGGTGCTGGAAAACATCGTGACAACTGAAAAGATCAGCGGAAAGAGGTGTAGAGACAGACCAAGAGAGAAGATGCTGGATGGGCTGAAACGATGGTATGGAGGGATATCATCAAGAGAGCTGTTGCAGGCAACTAGGGATCGTGATTTGTGCAGATGCAAGAGCGCCTACAACAGATGGCAGGGCACCTGATGATGATGATGATGATGATGACGACGACGACAACTATATTCTCCGAATCCAATCCACTATTTCAGTCAGTTACCAGTAACCGTTAATTTAAATACTACGAAAAGTTGAAGCAAATCTTAACAATCTTTCTGTCACTTTAATCTTCAATATATTTGCTAATCATAAGTAAAACATGATTCAAGAAAATGCATCCATCTCTAATAAGGCACGATAGGCATTTTAAAACAACAAACTGCGAGACTAAACTGAAGATCTGAACATAGCAACGTCTTGTCAGCGGGTGTCTCACAAGTCGTCAAGACTTTAGGACTGCGGGATACATTGAGATCGGCATTTTGTAACCCCTTCAAGATATCCTGGGTATTTTATAGGGAGTCCAGTAGATGATGAAAAATGGAAGGCTTGCCTTTTCTACCTGGGAACACATTTCGGGATCCCACTGTTTGTATAATCTGTGTTTTTGACGTTCTTTAGTTTTCACATTATCTCATATCCCTCCCTCTACAAACATTAATTTTACAGTCCATATCACACTTGATGGAAGCTGTAGACAGCAGATTCCCTGCATTGTTGACACTTTAGTCAGAACACTGATTGACGAAAACACAGATAAAGGTGATGCTATAGTTTACATAGATGTATCAGTAATTAGGAGCACGCGAAGTGCATGGGCATTCACAGTAAGCTCAATGGGGAAAACCATCAAGGAGATTAATGGCGCCTTTGCTGTTACAACTAGAAGCCTTACACTGAAAACTATGGCTGTAACAAGGGCTTTAGCATGGCTTGGTACTCAAAAGTTCACACATGTATGCATTCTTAGTTACTCAATGAATATGCTTTAAAAAATCCAAGCGGGATTAATCAGGTAAGAATGGATTGCAACACTAAGCACTTCACAAATATCTGCCCTAACCTTTATCTGTGTGCCAGGTTATGCGGGTGTTCAATGGAACGAGCGTGCAGACTATCTTGCTGACACTGCGGTTGCTATGGCTGACCCAGTACTGGACAGACGTGATGTTGTCAATGCTATGCGCTGCACTTACCGTACTGAGGAGCACGCCAAAAGACATTACTCCGTATCCCTGTCTAGACTGATGGACATGGGGGTGCAGCCTGGAGCTGCAAGAAATGAACATTTCACTAAAGGGACAAGAGGGAAAGTTGGTGTAAGACCAACTATTTCATCCCATAGAAAACTATACAGGTGACATCCAATTAGGCATGATCATTTCCACGAACAGCTTGTTAAGTCAAAGAAATGTTTCCGTTGTGAATTTGAACAAAGAAGACACAAACAAAAGATTGCACAATGTATTGCCTGGCATGTCTCACTGTATCTCGTCAGGTGCATAAGGGTAACAATTGATTGGTTTGAAGTTTGAACAACGGATCAACATCATGGCACACGGGTAGTAACCCATAAGTGCTCCGTACTTCTTCTAACTCACGTCTGAAACCGAAGAAGCGCAGCGCAGTGTACAGACTCTTTAGCACCGTCAAGGGTCCTAAAATTCTTTGGGTAGATTTTTAACTTCAAATTTTGCCAGGGCAGCGCCGTTTGGCTACTCTTTTCGATTTCCAACTGTCCAGGGATTTTTCACGTGCACAACAATGCACAATGCACAATCAGTGGAAATAGGGGTAGAGGCAGACCAAGAGAGATGATGCTAGATGGGCTAAAACGATGGCATGGACGGATATCATCAAGAGAGCTGTTCCAGTCAACCAGGGATCGTGATCTGTGGAGAAGCATGAGTGCCTACGCCAGTTGGCAGGGCACATGATGATGATGAACAATGCACACGGGCGTCTGATCTCACTACCCAAAGACCAGGGGGAATTACTAGAAGTCCAAGTCCATGTAAAAAAAATCACAGCCCTTACCGAGGAATGAACCCGGAACCTCCAGCACTCTAGGCGGACAACATGCATGTCTCGAGACAACGCAGCTCCCCAACAATTGATTAAAATAAAGCGAATAAATGAAACCTTCAAACTGAAACACAAAATCGACTACGCTCACGCATTGTCTGTTTCACGAATACTTTTTGTTGTTTCTTAATCTTATGATGTTGCAATCTGGCTGCTGTTAATAGGAAATTCTTCTTCTTCTTCTTCGCGTTCACCAGCTGTAAACTCTGGCGGAAAGTTCTGGTTGATCGTCCACTACTGAACTGCAGTCCTGCTCCAGAACCTGAGTGTTGCGTGTGCATCAGTTTTATAGATCTCATTCTTTTGAATACAGACTGTTGGTTCCTTGCCTCTCCGGCAGATGCACTCCGACTTCAAAGGAAGCTCCCCAGTTAGTCGACTCTTACGACATGCTTTTGGGGACGCAGTGGGTCTATTCTTCTTTTTCCCACAATGGGGCCCCGGAACCCACACGGGGGTAATAGGAAATGAATGTAAGCTCTAATCTGGCTGCTGTAGATAAGGACGGAGACTTATCTTCTTCTTCTTCGCGTTCATCGACCGTAAACTCTGGCGGAAAGTTCTGGTTTTCGACTACTTTTGGATTCTAGTCCTGTTCCAGAAACTTAGTATTGCGTGCACACCCGTTTCACAGGTCTGACTCATTTGCATGCAGACTGTTGGTTCCTTGCCTCTCACAATTAGTCGACTCTTAAGCCATGCTTTTGGGCAGATAGTGTGTCTATTCATGTTTTCCCCCACATTGGGGCCCTAGAACCCACATGGGGAATGGAGGCTTATAATAGTGCCCCAAGTACTGTAATGTTGCTTTTTAACTTATGACGTTATCAAGCTGCAAAGCCTTCACGGTTTTTTGTGTTTTTTTAAAAAACTTTATGAAACCCAAATAATTTTAATTTTTTGATTTTTTATATTTTCTTAGCAAATGAAATACCACGTGAGCCAGACTCTGGGGTACAAGAATGGCTATGCTATTCCCAAGCGTCCAGAAAGAGGAATTGGAGGGGCGCAACTGATGCAAAACAATTTGTCAGAAAATGAACTTGATGCCCTGTCAAACTTTAAACCTTCCATGACATATGGACAGGCTAAACAAAATCCACCAGTTACTTTCATTCCTGCATTTGTTGCATGGGATAAGAAGGTAATATATATATATATATATATATATATATATATATATATATATATATATATATATATATATATATATATATATATTAGGACTGTACCGAATATTCGCTTCGTATTCGCTTCGGGGCCGAATAGTGGACCAAATAACTATTCGGTATTTGGCTGAATAGTTGCGGTCGGGCCGAATACGAATAGTGGTTACCTTACACCCGCTTCTGCATACACTGCGATGGACTGAAATAACTCTCTCATTAACACAAAAGTTGCAGTTGCCTGTTGGTTGCGTGGCACAGCAGCTGGCAAGGCCCTTGCCTGCTGACTCGACCGAGGCCTTATAGCAGAGGTCCTCAAACTGGGTGCGTATGCCAAGGGTGCCCCGACGAAAATCAAGAAAAGTCGGCTATAAATTAAGACATTAAAAAAGGCATGAAGATACTTAGAAATTAAAATTTAAATTGTCTTTCCTCGCCAATGTCAAAAAGAGGACAGGCGACAGGCAATAATTGCACTTTATAAAATGAAGAACATCTTATGCAAAATATCTTTGTCATTGAAGGTTAGAAAAATAATTCTTGCTTGCTACATACATCCAGTTTTAACATATGGTTGTGAGTCCTGAACAATCGGTAGGCAGGCCAAACAATTTCTTGAGGCCTCAGAAATGTAGTTTTACAGAACAATGCTCAAAATACCTTGAACAGCCAAAAAAATATTTAAAAAAGCAACCAAGAGGTTTTAAAAGAGGCAGGAGCCCGAAGACAACTAATCACAGACATCAGAAGGAGACAGTCATCATTTTTTTCGGCCATGTTATGAGCAGAGGGAAAATGGAACATATGGTGACCACTGGAAAGATCTATAGAAGGAGGGATAGAGAAAGACAACGAAAGAAGATGCTTGACAGTTGTTGCATGGCATGGAGGTGTGTCAGCACACGAACTAATACATGCTGCAGGAGATCGCAGATTGTGGCGAGGCATAATCGCCTACGATAGTCGGCAAGGCACCTGATGATGATGATACACTATTCGTATTCGGCTGAATAGTTGGTCCCACTATTCGTATTCGACCGAATAGTGAAAATCACTATTCGGTACAGCCCTGATATATATATATATATCTTTTTTTTTATTGTATAAAAAGGTAGTATTTACTTGCTAATGTTATTTTTTTTTTTTTTCAGTTTTGTTGTATGAGACAAGCGAGTAATATTCTCTTCACCATTTTCTTCCTTTTGTTTTATTGTATGAGACAAGCGTGTAATATTATGTTTACCATTTTCTTCCTGTTGTTTTGTTGTATGAGACAAGCGTGTAATATTCTGTTCACCATTTTCTTCCTTTTGTTTTGTTGTATGAGACAAGCGTGTAATATTCTGTTCACCATTTTCTTCCTTTTGTTTTGTTGTATGAGACAAGCGTGTAATATTCTGTTCACCATTTTCTTCCTTTTGTTTTGTTGTATGAGACAAGCGTGTAATATTCTGTTCACCATTTTCTCCCTTTTGTTTTGTTGTATGAGACAAGCGTGTAATATTCTGTTCACCATTTTCTTCCTTTTGTTTTGTTGTATGAGACAAGCGCGTAATATTCTGTTTACCATTTTCTTCCTTTTGTTTTGTTGTATGAGACAAGCGTGTGATATTCTGTTCACCATTTTCTTCCTTTTGTTTTGTTGTATGAGACAAGCGTGTGATATTCTGTTCACCATTTTCTTCCTATTGTTTTGTTGTATGAGACAAGCGTGTAATATTCTGTTTACCATTTTCTCCCTTTTGTTTTGTTGTATGAGACAAGCGTGTAATATTCTGTTCACCATTTTCTTCCTTTTGTTTTGTTGTATGAGACAAGCGCGTAATATTCTGTTCACCATTTTCTTCCTTTTGTTTTGTTGTATGTATGTGTTTGGGTAGCCCGGCTCTCTTGCGTGTTGGCTAAACCGGATTGCGCAGAGACCAGGTGACGAACTCCTTGTGGTCCGGGTTCAATCCCGGGGGTAGGCAGGAAAGCCACATTTTCTCCCAGATTTACGGTATTTACAATGGAATCAAGGCCGAAAGGTTGCTATATCCATAATACTGAGCCTAAGGGTTAACAACTCATGGATTCTCGATACTAAAACAAAACAAACATGTGTTTGGGGGAGAAGAATTGACCAAATACTCACCCCACTCAACAAGCATATTGTTTGAGGCGATAGACTGAGCCTGCTCCCTTCGAACCATAGTGCATCTGTCTAAGAGGTGAGGAACCAATAGTCTGGATATAGATATTTTACATCTGTAAAACAGATGTGCAAACAAAGTTCAAATTCTAGAACTTACCAGTCCAGATGTTAGTGAACAACAAGAACTCTCCGTCGTAGTTTACAGTCGTTGAATGCTAAGAAGAAACAGATCGGCCTGGTCTGAAGAGAGTGGTTCTGTGGAAGTCGGTAGAAGATCTGGCCAACACTTAAACTGATAGGTTCAGCACTGTGAGTTGTGTTTTTCATGTGGAATGCTTTTCATTTCTGCGGTGGTTGAGTCGTGTTTTTCAATATGGTCGGTAGCCGGTTTACTAATTGGCTGGTGAAATACCTTATGTCAGTGATTCCCAAAATTTGACCTCTTCACAGGGGCGCCACGAAATATTTGAAGATACGCGAGTTTTTTTTTTTTTTTTTTAACGAATAGTCGTAGTTTTACTTAGGTTAGGGTGCCATGAAAAAAATGTTAATTGGAAAAAGGCACACCACTAAGAAATGTTTGGGAAGCACTGCTTCCTGTAATAATTATATATGTGTGTAGCCAACCTATCATGCCCGACTACTTCAGTCAACCACAGACTGCTAGGCTCGACAAAATGTCTATTACACTAGTGCGGGGAAAAAATGATGCTGTAAAGAAACAACAAAAGTGCTGATACTGCGTATCGTTGCATACCATAAGAGAACAAGCCCTGATAGCAACAATCATTTATTATCTTGTCTTATCTTATTCAGTCTCTTGCTGTCACCAGGTGCTGAGGTTCTATGGCTACTTTAAGCAGACAGTGTACGAGTCTCCTTCAGAACATTTCTGCATCCGTCCGGTGGACATTTATTACTATCTGGAGGATGATAGTATAGTTGTGGTGGAGCCGCATATAGAGAACGCTGGAATGCCTCAAGGTAGCTGTTTGCATCCTCAACTCTGTTCAGCATTTATGTCGCATTTAAAACTAAAAATTTTTAATTCTAATGTCAAATCAGTACTATTGTATGGGGCGGAAACACGGAAAACAACCAAGGCAATTACTAAAAAATTACAGACATTCATTAACTGGTGCCTGCGCAGAATAGAGGGAATTAAATGGTATGATAGAATAACTAATGTAGAACTTTGGGAGAGAACTAAACAGGCTCCAGTGGACCAGGAGGTGAGGACAAAACAGAGAAGAGAGCTGGAGAATGAAGTTAGAAAGATTTGGAGGACATGGGGAGAGCTCCATGCAATGGCGAAGGATAGAACGACTTGGGGTGAGTTGGTTGAGGGCCTATGCTCCATTGGGGGATAGTAAGGCAGAAGAAGAAGAAGAATAGTGTTATATCAAATTAATAGTGTTACATTAAAGTAATAGTGTTACATTGAAGTAATAGTGTTACATTCAAGTAATAGTGCTAAATTCTTCTTGAAGAAGAAAAAGAACATTAAAGTAATAGTGTTAAATTTATTAAGTAATAGTGTTACAATAAAGTAATAGTGTTACATTGAAGTAATAGTGCTAAATTTAGTAAGTAATTGTGTTACGTTGAAGTAATAGTGTTAAATTTTTTAAGTAATAGTGTTTTATTGAATTAATAGTGTTATTTTGAAGTAACAGCATCACACTGAGGTAAAAGTGTTACCTTGAAGTACCATTCTTCTCTTCTTCTTTTTGTTAATGTTCACCAACTGTAAACTTCATCGGAAAGTTCTGGTTATTCATCTGCATGGTCTTGTTTCAGAACCTTTTTGTGTGCACATACGTTTTACAAACCTGGCTTATATTTATGCAGACATGTTAGTTCCTCGCCTCACAGACAGATGCATTCAGCCTTCAAATGAAACACCATCAGTTAGTCACATGTGATGACGTGCTGGTTGTGGAGGCCGTGGGTCTATTCTGTTCGCCCCAAAATGGGGGTCCCTGAACCCGCCCTAGGATTCTACCATTCTAAGTGTGGATCTTGTTATAAGTTCTGGATATCCGAGCAAACCTCCACACAGGCAGTAATTGTATCAGACTCCATGAATATGCTTCAGAAGATATCAACAGGCGATATGCCCTCTGAATGAGTAGAAAGCATTTAAAAATCGCACTTAACCTCCCTCACCTGGATCTACACACCTGGACAGTGCAGATATCGTCAACGCTGTACGGACTGGCCTAGTGGATAATGAGGAATCCCTGACACTAACACGATTGCGTGACATGGAAGTAAAGCATGGTGAAGCACGCCTATGCCGTCTTCGAGACCGAGATACGAGTCAATATAACCAGCTTCTCATGGGAACAATTAGTAGAAGTACTTTGGAGTGGCTGCTGCATCGGAAGACTGAGCACGCATGGGAATGTCCAGTGTGCAGTGAGGTCGATTGTGATAACATAACATAACATAAGTTCTGACATGTACTTCTGTCATATTTCAGGCAAACTCATCAGACGCCAGCGCTTGCCAAAGAATGAACAAGGTGACATTTGGCATTGGAAGGACCTCAATTTAGGAATGAATGTTGTGTTCTATGGGAAGAACTTTCACATCACAAATTGCGACAAATTCACAAAGGTATTCATTTTAAAGTACATGCTTTTCTTCTTTTTCTGGGGGTTCACTGGCTGCAAGCTCCGGCAGAAAGTTTTGGTTGTTCGTCCACTTCTGGACTTTGATCTTGTTCCGGAAATTGAGTTTTTGCCGGCACATCCATTTTACGGATCTGGTTTATTATTACGCAGACTGCCTCACAGGCAGAGGATGTCCAGTGTAATAAGTGGTTTGTATTTCTACTCGTTGTCTAGGCAGTGTTCATGCGTGTGTGGTGGATGATATTCTCACACTCTCCACGTTACACAACTGGCACAAGCCGACACCGATGTGAACTTACGAGACATGAATTTATTGACGTATTAAGACTTACGACAAACGAATAGTCCAGTCGGTGTCCTAGTGAACAGCTTTCGTACACAAACTCACGCAGCCTTCAATGAACAGTCTTCTGCAGGCATTCAAGCAACGATGGGTCCCATGGATTCAACATTGATGTTTGGACATCTCACACGCTGGCATGGTCGATCTCAGTTTAACACTTCGTCGGCAGGTCTCCTTTCTCCTCAGGCATTCACGTAGACATTCTCACATTCAGACGCACGTCCTCTTACTCCAACAGGTCAACACAAACTAAACTTGACCAGAGTCAAGTCTGACTTATACCACGGGTTCGTTTCACGTGACAACACGTGGTGGTCCTTTACTTTTCACGTGGCGACCTTGGGTCGCATCATCGTGGTCCTCGTGATAACTAGTGGTTAGTCACCTATCTCCAGATTCTCGTTTTATCCAAGTATCTGGACTATCTCGGTGTTTTTGGTCAGCTTTGGGCCTTCCCCCCAACCATCCTAAACTGGGTGAAAATATCCCCCATTACATCCAGCTTTAAAGGAAATAGTCCCTAATTTGTCGACTTTTACGACATGTTTGTTAGGAGGGCAGTATGTCTACAACAACCTCCCTCCCCCTTTTTTTTTTCTTATCTACGGCCACTAGTTTATAGCTAGGCTGGGATAACTGCGTCTTTTGGCCCATATAGCTTCATCACAGCCTCAATTAGTTGCCTTTTATGACATGCTTGTTAGGATTAAGTGGGTTTGTTGCCCACCCACCAGAACCCCTATGGGGTTCCTGGAACCCACTTAGAAAACGTCAGTGCTTCAGAAGAGCCGTCTTTATATTGTATTGATTTTGCTACAGAATTGATGATTATTTGTACGATGGTCTCCCCATTTACACACCACCGGTTGTAGGTCAACTCAATTGATAATTTGGTTAGACTAGTCTGCTGTGGTCGAGGTTATAGGTGTCGCCGTCTGTTGTGATCTGGTATTTACGTTTTTTTTTTTTTTTAACCTAGAAAAAGACGGCCTGTGACATAGGTTTTGTCACTCTCTGGGGTGGGGGAGGGGGTGGTTTGTGTGTATCTAAATGTTTTAAACATGTAAAAAGCTCTGGCATGGTGAAATATACCACACGCAGTATGAACGTCACTGCGGAATATCGCCGTGACCTTGTGTGAAAGTCGGATGACTAGAAGACGACATATCAGAAGTGAGGTGGTCAGTAGATCGTCCAATCAGAAGCGAGCCAGTGTGTAGCGGTGTGCAAATGGAGAGACTAGCGTAAAAATATACCGAAATGATGTGTCCGAACTTCAGACAAGCTATTTTATTATATGATGTTGGACAAGGCACATATGAGATCACTCTCCACGCCAAGCTCTGTTTTGTTTTCATTACTGTTAAATTTTAATTTATAATTTAAGGGAAAAAAATGTAAGTATAACAAACATTACAGGTACACATGTACTCAATTTCTAAATTACTTGTCCTCCTTACCCTTGAACCTTCCTTACATCCGCACCCACAGCTGCCCTGTCAAGCTTTCTAGGTCAAATTTACTTCTCCCAACCGAGGATGAGAGTGACTTCCCTTGCTATTCATTACTCGTTGGGTCGCGGGACCTCTCCTGTGTTGTGGTAGTGTTATGATATAGCTTTGTTTGACGTTTGCTCTACGTACATAATGTTTGTGGGAGGGTGTGAGTCTATCTCAGGCGCCGCAGGCAGCAGTTCACAAGAAAGAAGTACTGCCAAGGGAACCACCGCAGGCACAACGATTCTTGAATATTGAATCTGAAATGTTTTTGCATTTCTACATTCGTTGGCGGTGGCTTTCCCCCGAGAGAAAGAAAGCAACATATGTTTACATAGTCCTGAACCTCGAGCAGGTAACAGAACAGGAAAATAATCATAGAAACAAGCGCTGAGAAGACAAGAGAAATAAGAATGGTTAAAGAGTTGACAACATTGAAAAAATGCCACCCCTGCAAAAAAGAAGAGGTCATGTGACCCAGTGATGGCAAGGAAAGTCTCTGTCATCCTGACCCGACAAACGTAAAATGCACCGCTTTCTAATATCATGACATGACCAGTTTCTCTAGCCGTCTAATTTAACTGTTGTCACAATATTTTCCCTTACCATTAATCTCAGTATAACATATTCTTGGCAATGTAGGATTTTCTGGAAAGCGAGGGCATCATAGTGAATGAGCCCGAAAGTATTCCCGTCGACCCGTATATAGTCAAGAGAGGCGAGGACTCAGCACTTCGCCAGTACCGGACCCCATTCTCATTTGATAAGCTGAAACAGTTCCAAGAGCTAGACCATAAAGTGCTGCGGTTCTACTGCATGTGGGATGATCGAGACACTCTTTTCGGAGAACTGAGGCCCTTTATTCTGCATGTGGGTATTTTGTCTGAGAAATTGTGTAAATCATAGGAGAAGTCGGCTCTGTGGCTAAGTCGATGCGAACGCTTCGTAATGCCGGGATGCCGGGTTCGATCCCAGCTGCGGGCCATGCGCCTTGCGTTGGTTTCGACAGTGGTATCAAGAAAGCCGACTGTCCAGAAGCAATGGCAAACTACTGGACGTAAATTTGCCTTAAAAAATCACACAACAGCCAGGGGCTGTTGGGATTGGTTCTGCAGCGTCCTGTAAAGAATATACAACCGACTAACCATAGGGGGCAAAAGAAGGGAAAGGGGGGGGGGTGGGTTTGTCAGGTTAATGTGTTGTGTTTTATACTCTATGTGGGTATTTTGTCTGATAAATTGTCTAAGTCTGGGGTTCTGTATGGGTTTATATTCTGTATTCATTTAGACTGTATGTGGGTAGATAGTTTGTAAATTATGCAAGTCTGGGGGGTCAGTCTGGTTCATATGTTGCGTTCATTTATACTATATGTGGATATATAGTCTGATAAATTAAGTCTATGTGGTTTATAGGTTGTGTTCATTTACACTCCATGTCGGTATTTTGTCTGATAAATTACGTATGTTTGAGAGTCTGTCTGGGTTTATATGTTGTGATCATTTATACTGTGTCTTGATTTACAGTCTGATATGTTGTGTATGTTTTGGGGTCTGTCTGGGTTTATATGTTGTGTTCATTTATACTGTGTGTTGATTTATAGTCTGATATGTTGTGTATGTTTGGGGGTTTGTCTGGGTTTATATGTTGTGTTCATTTATACTGTGTGTTGATTTATAGTCTGATATGTTGTGTATGTTTGGGGGTTTGTCTGGATTTATATGTTGTGTTCATTTATACTGTGTGTTGATTTATAGTCTGATATGTTGTGTATGTTTGGGGGTTTGTCTGGGTTTATATGTTGTGTTCATTTATATTGCATTTGGGTATATAGTCTGATAAATTGTGTATGTTTAAGGGTCTGTCTGGGCTTATATGTTGTGTTAATGTATACTGCCTCTGGTTTTATATTCTGATAAAATGTGTATCATTGGTTGGGGGTGGAAGGGGGGTCTGTGTTGATATGTTGAGTTCATTTATATTATACATTGGTTTGTTTTGTAGTCTGCTAAATTGTGTATGTTTGGAGGTCTGTCTGGGTTTGTATACTGTCTTCATTTATAATGCATCTGGTTTTATAGTCAGATGAACTGTGCTTGTTTGGGGTTTTAGTTTATATACTATGTTTATATATACTGCGTGTGGGTATAAAGTGTGAAAAATTATACTTGCATGGGATCTCAGCTTGTACGCTGTGTTCATTTATACTGCATATAGGTATATGGTGTGATTTTATTTTTTTTTTTTTTTTTTTTTTTTTTTTTTTTTTTACGTATCCAGAAACCATGAGTTGTAAACCCTTTGGCTCGGTACTATGGATCTCGCAACCCTTCAGCATTGATTCCATTATAGGTACCGTTAATCTGGGAGAAATGTGGCTTTTCTGCCTACCCCCGGGAGTGAACCCGGACCACAAGGAGTTCGTCACCCGGCCGCCGCGAAAGTCAGGTTTAACCAACTTCGCTAGAGAGCCGGGCTATGGTGTGATAAACTGCACATATGTGATTGTCTGAGTTAATATGATATGTTCATTTATACTGCATGTGGTCTGTTTAATTATGCCTGGATGACTAAGGTTAAGTAAGGGACCTTTTCCCACACCTTGAGTCATTGGGCATATAGGGATAGACCTATATTTTATAGACCAATCAGCACTTGTTGGGTGATGTGGTATCCCCGTGTGGGTTCTGGGGTCCTTTGTAGGGAGAACAAGAATAGACCCACTGCCTACCTAAAAGCATGTCGTAAGAGTCGACTCATTGAGAGCTTTCTTTGATGTGAGAGTGCATCTGACTGAGAGGCAAGGAACCAACAGTCTGCATACAAATGAGTCAGATCTGTCAAACTGATGCACACGCAAAACTCAGTTTCTGGAACAAGACTGCAGTCCAGAAGTGGACAAACAACCAGAAATTTCCGCCGTAGTTTACAACCGATGAACTCGAAGAAGAAGAAGAAGGGTGTTGTGGTCAGTGTCATGCCGGCCACCTTGACTACCCATGACTTCAAGGTGATCTTTGACGAAAGTCAGGTTCCACCGGGACCCAAACCCACAACCTTCCTATCTGCAGGTGGGCGTCTAGCCGCTACATCACCACAGCTCCCACATGGGTAAGGTAAGTCTTCTTCTGCCATTTTAGCCCCCAGTGGAGCATAGGCCCTCAACCAACTCACGCCAAGTCGTTCTATCCGTTGCTCTCCCCATGTCCTCCCCATCTTTCTAACTTTATTCTTCAGCTCCCATCTCTATATTTTTGGCCTTTCTTTATTCCTTTGCTCCTGTGGGTTCCAATGCAAAGGCATTGTAGTTATGCTTCTTTAGTTTTCCCAATGTGTGTCCTATCCAACGCCAGCGTCTTGTCCTCACCTCTTGGTCCACTGGAGCTTTCTTAGTTCTCTCCGCATGGGTAAGTAGGAGTCTGTACACTGGGTATGTATGGAATCTAAGTTGAGGCTCCCACCTCTCCCCGCCCTTTTCCTCCCGTGCATGTCTCACACTAATACAGTCTCTTTTTCTTCCAGTACTATCTGGTTGATGACACGCTAGAGGTCCGAGAAGTGCACAAGCCAAATGATGGCCGAGATCCATTCTCAGTTTTGATTGGTAGACACAGGATTCCCAAAGACAGGGCCAATATTCCGCCATCGTTCCCGTCTGGAGCTATGGAACTCACTGAGCAAGAAGTCAAAGAGTACTTTACACCCAAGGACTTCCAGATCGGCAAAACGGTTGTGATCTATGGCAGGCGATTTTTCATCTACGATTGTGACAATTTCACAAAGGGATTCTACTACAATCATTTTGGGATCACAAACTTTGACCCAATTGATGTGAAAGAGAAAGTTAAAGAGTTGCCAAAAATGGTAATGTTTTACCTAATGTTTTTTTTTTTTAATCAGTTAATTATTTGTTTGGATAATTAGTCTTATTCTTATTCTTAAAGTTCATGCAGTGGTAGACATGTCTGTCAACAAACTTTTGTCTTGTGTGCTTTCTGTCACATCTGACACAGTTGATCCTCTATGCCACGATCTCAAACTGTCCAGCATCTGTTCTCTCGGTCTCCCTCTGCCCCTCTTCTCCTCCAACTTTCCTACTGTCACGATGTACTCCAGTTTTCTCCTTCTTATCACTTGACCAAAGAATATAGATTGTCTCTTTCTGATGTGGGCAATCAGTTTCTGTTCAGGAGTCAGTTTCTGTCAAGACGTCTTCATTACTCTTTTTATCTGTCCAGGGTATTCTCATTATTCGTTTATGAAACCACATCTCCACAGCTTTCAAGTAAGTCTTAACTCATTTACCATCCATTATTCACTTCCATATATCGAAATAGGATTTACATAGCTTTTGAGAATTCTTCTTTTTGTCTCAGTTGACTTAGGAAGGTTCTATAAGATATTCTTCATTTTGTAAAAGGCTGTTAAAGACGATAGTGGTATATTGTGTTATATGGCGGCGCGAGAATAACAGCCTATAGATCCACTTTCAAATAATTTGTCAACTGTCCATAATTCTCTGGGCGATTTCTGCTAATTTTTTTCTGCTTTAAGTCCATGCCACTTGGCGCTGGTAATCATGTCTACCCACAACCTTCTGTCTCGTATACTTTCAACCAACTCTGACACAAATGATCTTCTAAGCCATGTTGTCAAACTATCCACCATCTGTTCTCTCGGTCTCCCTCTGCCTCTCCTCCCCTCCAACTTTCCTCCTGTCACGATTCCTGCTAACATCTGCAGGAAATCCCCGAGTACAACAGCTTTGGCTCAGTGGAAGACTCCTTGCAGTCATGTAACTCGCTGATCCCCCATGCTCCCAAGAGAGACTTTGTCAAGTTGGTTGAGAATGATCATAAAGAACTCCGGTTCGAAGCTATGATGGTGAGTTGTGAATATATTCATAAGTTTTTTTTTTTTTTTGGTTGTAAATTTGTTTAGTGAATTTGATTTGTTAAATGTTAGTGAGTTTGATTTGTTTTTAAAAAAAAAATGTGAATCTGAGTTGTAAATTGATTAGCGAGTTTGAGTTATAAATTTGTTTGTCCTATTTTTGAATTGTTTTTTTGTGAGTTTGGGTTGTACATTTGGTAATGGGTCTTAAGCTGTAAATTAGGTTAATGAGTTTGAGTTGTAGATTTATTTAGTGAGTTTGACTTGTACATTTGCTAGTCAGTTTGATTTATAAATTTGTTTTGGTGGGTATAGGTTGTAAATTGGTTAGTGATTTTGAGTTGTAAGTTTGTTTAGTAAGTTTTAGTCCAAACATTTTTTAGAGAGTTTTTCTTGTATATTTATTGGAGAGTTGTAAAATATGTCCCCACTAAAGTGGCTTCCCGCTTGGTGTAATAAAAGTGGCTTGTGAGTTGCAACAACCCCAAGAGCTATGCCGACAGTGGCTTAGGTGCTGGCACAAAGAATTAGAAACTATGTATAAGAAAGCAAGTACACTTACATACCAATTGTCACCATTATCAAGTCATCGAAATATAACTATTAGTGAGGGGGAAATGGATTATAAAAAACATATTCATACCAGCATTTAGCTATCAGCGCCAGACATGGAATTGTCTAAAGCCCATATACACAGAATCACCAGAGATTACCTAACCATCCGAGATGGAGTGAATAATGATACTGTCAGACAGATTGTGGGAACGACACCTTGTACTAGATTCATCGAGAAACAGCAGGTTTGGCCATCTTGTTAGAATGCTGAAACTTCAAATACCATCACGGGCACTACCTCTCAGAAGATTAGCTTAAGAGCAAGAGGATGGCCATGAAAAATATGGATCGACAACATACAAGACACTTTACACCTTCACAGTGGCGTGACAGTAATCAGTTGCAGCAAGCATACATTGGATTGCAAATTATTCCTCCCTGTGGAGCTTAATGACAGAAGGGGCAAAGATGATGCACAGTCTTTATGGACTGTGTACATTTAAGAAGAGCGGCTGGCCGGGTGTTTACAGCACCAGGCTTTCATGCAGGAGACGCGGGCTCAATCTCTGGTAAAGGAATGAGGATTTGTATCTGTTGGGGGCAGCAAAACAAATCCTAACCTACACAGTTTGCAGCGACTGCACTAGCATGCTCAGTCTCACAATCTGCTGTTCTAAATCCTTCCAACAGTTGTAAATACAGGCGGTTAGGACAGTTCATGTGAATAAATTTGGGGGTTATTAATATCGTTATAGGCTAGAGGAAAGAGAAGGAAAAAAAGAGTAGGGAGATGTGGAAAGAAATGTGGTTACGACAATAAGTAGTTCTGTGCAGGGGCCATGAAATATGTTCATAACCCATGCAACAAATATGTGAATAGCTGAATTACACAACAACAACATATGACTACTTTGGCACCGCTTAGATAGAGAGACCACGTACACGAGCTACTAATTCTGTCTTGAATCAAGCAAATGAATATAACTATCAAATTCAATGTCTGTGTATCTTCCTGAACACAAACTAGCGTGCTTCACACACAACAATACATTAACAATCACCATCATGTTCACACAGACCACGTGCTAAGCACCTCAGCTAACAAAGGTAAAAGTTTGCTTCCCACGACCTGATATCAAAATATCTCAACTTTCCTAATGCAGCGACCCTTTCAGTTCCTCATGTTATGGCGACCCTCAACTATACAATTATTTTCTTTGCTACAATAACTCCAGCAGTTACCCACAGGGACCTCCAAGACATATGCTTCACAGACTGAACAACAGTCCAAAACCAAACCCAAAACTCAGAGATCACAGGGTTAACCAGCTTGCTATGGAGACTCCCAGTAATCAGATTGCATCATATGACCCTGCCAGACCCTAGTATCAGCCATCCCCCACCCCCCACATACACACAAAAAATATTGTATTTATACATTTTTCTTTCACTAGGTGCCTGGATGTAAGGTATAAATTGCAGTTTTTAACGTTTGAAAGTTCAACAAATCTGTTTTACAGTTTCTTATGTGGTAAAAAGTTTACTGTTTGGTTAAATTCAGGAGTAGTGACTACTGTAGCTCGACGGGGCTCTCTGTAATATTCGCACTAACAAATTGTGACTAGCAAGACCATCTGGCATTAAGGAAAGTCTTCCTGTTGTTGTAGTTACCGTTTCATCTTGCCAGATAATAGTGTTATATTGTGCCATATTATATAATTTGGAGACTAGTAGATTCAACAGAGACAGAGAGTCGATTCAACAGAGACAGTGTTTTGTTGGAAAATCCATCAGGATTCAGAAAAGGAAGAAACTGCTGTGTCCAATCCACCTAAATCTAGTGAAGAAGAGGCAGGCCAAGAGGCACTTGGAGGCGAATCTTTGAGGCTGAACTCAAGGCTTCGCGAAGGAAAAACTGGAGATAAAAAGGTCGGCTCAGGGTGGAATTAAGTGGTGACAGTTTGTCTCTGCCTTGTGCTTCTGGGCGTGATAAAAACTGATTGACTGAGATTCAGCAGAAAGTATAAATGTTTCTTATCTTTATTGGTGACATTTGTTTTTTATATTCTCTGTTGAGGAACTTTTTTTTTAAATCTGCAGTTTGTTTTAAAAGTTTTTGACATGCCTTATAAAAGGTTTATCTGATAAATGTTTAAAACATTATTCATTGGACAAAAACGAAACAGACAGAAAGATAAAGAGCATGCTTAGATGTGTCAAATGAAGACTTAGAAGATTGTTTGGGTTCAAATGGGAAGATAAAATCAGCAATTCTAGATTATGACAAATGACGGACTTAGAAGATGATAATTTAGAAATTAAAAAAAAACGAAGATTTAGGTGGATTGGACACATCCTCAGAATGAAGAAAGAGAGATGGCTGAGGCCCCCGTGTGGGTTCCGGGGCCCCATTGTGGGGAAAACAAGAATAGACCCACTGCCTCCCTAAAAGCATGTCGTAAGAGTCGACTAATTGGGGAGCTTCCTTTGAAGTCGGAGTGCATCTGCCAGAGAGGCAAGGAACCGACAGTCTGTATTCAAGAGAATGAGATCTGTAAAACTGATGCACACGCAACACTCAGGTTCTGGAGCAGGACTGCAGTTCAGTAGTGGACGAGCAACCAGAACCTTCCGCCAGAGTTTACAGCTGGTGAACGCAAAGAAGAAGAAGAAGATGGCTGAGGCAAGGCAATGCAACCACAAGTACAGTGAAGAAGAGGCACCCCCAGGGGCACTTGGAGGCGAACCTTTGAAGCTGAACTCAAGGCTTCGCGAAGGAAAAACTGGAGATAAAGAGGTCGGCTCAGGATGAAATTAAGTGGTGACAGTTTGTCTCCGCCTTATGTTCTTCTAGGCGGGATGAGGATTGATTGACTGAGATTCAGCAGAAAGTATAAATTTTCCGTATCTTTATTGGTCACATTTGTTTTGATATTTTTTGTTGCAAGACGTTTTTTTTTTTTTTTTTTTAAATCTGCAGTTTGTTTTAAAAAGTTTTTGACATGCCTTATAAAAAGGTTTGTCTTATAAATGTTTAGAAAATGTATCATTTGAAAAAAGTAGTGACATAAATTGTTTATGGAAAAGGCCAAATTAAGCATGGTTAACATCTGCTTTCTTATCTTCATTCATTTATCTAATTTATCAAATGATCTTGGATAGCAGGTCAAACCAGCCTGAAAGTGATACCCGGTGTTGTCCTTGGAAGTAAAGGCAGCCAACAGGATGATGTTGATAACATCACTCACCAAGTGCCAGTTAATCTGACAAATATGGGTGTGCTGGTACTCACCAGAAAGTGTGTATTAAAATAAAAACCAAAGGAGCCAGTACTCACTACAAAGTTTCTTATTACATTAGCGCTGAAAATATCCTGCCTAAGAAAGGTGCAGATACTGCGTACCATTGCATACCCTATGTCTAGCACTATATGTCCTATGTGAATTAATCAAGTAACAGAAAGTGTATTGATCGGCACTCATAGAAAGAAGTAGAAAGATAGAAGAACACACTAGACTGTTACTTGATTAATCTATAATATTTAACGGCCTCAAAGGTTTCCCCTCTGTTTATGTATGTCCTGTGTGCAGAGGTCTTTACTTACTTTACCTTTTTCTAAAGCTAGATATTAGGTCTCTAGAAAAAGTATCGGACCTGAGATCAGGGAAATACGTTTACTCACCTGCAGATTTGAATTCTTCATCTGCTTCAAGATTGTCTGCATACATCTCCCAGCCTGGCGGCTAAAGCAGTGGCTCTCAACCTTTCTAACGCCGGAACCCTTTAAAACAGTTCCTTTATGTTGTGGCAACCCCCAGACAATTATTTTCCTTTATATCTTCAATGAATTTGTGTTTTCCGATGGTCTTGGGTGACCCCTGTGAAAGTGTCGTTCGACCCTAAAAAAGGGGTCGCGATCGGCAGGTTAAGAACCGCTGGGCTAGAGGCTCGACTGCGGATCGGAGTGTCCTGATGGGAGCCGGACTTGTTTTCAACAATGGCTTCGGCTCCTAAGTCGACCCAGTTTTGAGTGTGTACCAGGTACAGCCCTGGGAAGTAAAGGCTGCTGGCGTGATGCTGACCACATCACCCACCAAATGCTATAAAATACAGGTCTGTAAAACACAGGTCTGTAAAATACAGGTCTGCAAAATACTGGTCTGTAAAATACAGGTCTAGCCCGATTTACACCGGAAGGCGGAGGGAAGGGTCCTTTACTTACTTTACTATACATCTCCCAGCAGTCCCTCTGTTTGTTTAAGCATTTCAGGGTGGCCCACTTGGGAACGGAGTTCAGCTCTGGCATGAAGATCGTTTTCTTCTGCTGCCCTTTGTCTCCCAGTGAAGCATAGGCCCTCAACCAGTAGTCCTATCCTTTGCTATCGCATTCAGCTCATCCTGTGCCCTTCCAGTCTTTTTAACACATTGGTTGTTTC